GGCTTGGGGAATGGGCAAGGAACTTCCTTGCCTGCCCCAGCTGGCAGCCGGTGCCGAGCTGCCTGGACCTGGAGCTCAGGCAGAGAGCCGAGGAATAGCTAAGGAACAGCAGCCAGAGCCTCACTTGGGTGTGTGTGTCCCAGTGCGTGGGGCCCTGCACGTCCCAGCTCTGTGTCCAGTATGCTTTGGCTGTGCTGGTTCTTGGCTTCTCTCTGATGAGGACTAGTTCAGTGTCCCTTACTATGCTTGCTGGTGAGATGATTTTCTAAAAATGTGAGGCACAGTCCTGGGTTAGAGTAGCCGAGAGTCTGTGCAGATGCCATGGAGTGCTGAGAGTCACTCCGCTGCCTGGCACGGTGCTGGGTGCTCGCTCTGTGCACGTTATTCACTCAGTCACACCTGTCTCGTGGGTGGTGACCATTCATTTTAGAATAAAGAAACTGGGTTTTGGAGAGGTTATGTGACATGTCTGAGGACATAAAATGACAGAGCAGGACTAGAATCTAGGCCTGTGTGATGCCCAACTTTTTTTGAGCTTCTGCATTGAAGTGTATCCCTGTTTTAGAGGTCTCAGGGAAACCAGAGACCACACTGCCGTCTCTCTGTGACCCTGGCGATTGGTCATCTGTGTATGTGTAACTGCATGTGGATGGTGTCACCACATTTTAGCTTTGGAAACAATTGTCATTTCGTTTTGTCTTCCCCTCTCTGACTTGTATAAAAAAGTTTGGCAAATGAGTGTGTGTTTTGAGAGTGGTGAAAATATTTCTTGATTTATAGAGTTAATTATACAAGATATAGGGTAGGGGAAGGAAGAAGGGGGAATTAGCATTTTTATTGGTACCTCCATTGTACAGGAGAGAAAACTGAGGCCAAGAAATAAGTAACTGTTTTGGAATCACGAAGCCTGTGATTGGCAGAATTGAGCCATTTAGAAATATAGAAATTAACCATGTTCTAGACGCTCAGGGCTTCAACATCCATTCTGTAACATGGATGAAGTAAGGCGCTGGAAGCTCCTGTTTCCTACCTAGGGGAGGACTCAGGGGTCTAGATCACGAACCAAGAGGGGGTGTGGACACGGAGTTTTAAATTATTTATTTAATTTTATTAACCATTATTATTTTTAAAAATTTGCTGTTGATCTCATGGGCTCACTAGAGAGAGACAGAGAGAGAGAGAGGGAAAGTGAGAAAGCAAGCTGCCAGGTCTGGGATTCGAACCATGGACTGTGATGTGAGAGTCCAGTACCTTAATCACCATGACACCTGCTGGCCCTTTCTGTTGTAGTTTAGCATCTAGCATAATGATGCTTGGCACATGGCAGATGCTGAATGAACGCGCATGTGCGTGCACACACACACACGCACACACACACAATTATGTGTATATAAATAAATGCCTGAGGCACCCTACCAATTTTCCCTTTTCTGATCTACTCATGTACTTTGTAGAGCCTCAATTTGCTAGCAATTTGTTGATGGAAAATGTGAAAACCTGGTAAAATACACTCTTAGAACCTACTCGAAGCCCTCCAGCACTGCTGGACCAGTGGACTGGTGCTCAGGGGCGCATACCAGTGTTTATTTAGTGGTAGCTGCTGCCTGGGGGCGCAGCCAGTGGGCTTCTGTAAGAATTTCCAATTTACAAGCTCAGTTGGGACCAGGATTTTGTGTGACTGGCAGAGACCCTTAGCAGGTGACTGAGTAGTCACACTGTTGAGCTGGGCAGATGTGACAGAGAGCCTTGGCACCTGTCAGAGCAGATGGTTTGCCTGTTGGTGTTTTCCTTCATGTTCTAAGGTTACCCCCGTGGTCATGAATTGCTGGGAGCCCCACCTGCCCCCTGTGGTCACGTGCACTTCTGATCCTGGCTTCAGTGTTTCTATTTAGACACAAGAACCTTTGAGAGAGATTGGTGTCATTCCATTTGTGAGTTCGTGGGCAGCTGTCATTTTTTCCTTGCCTTTCGCTCACATTTCAGCCCACCAGAAAATTCTATGCTTCTCCTTGTTGAGGTGCTCTCCCTTGTTGTCTTCTGTAAAAAATAATTTTTTTTTCCTCTTAAACAGAAAGCTAATATTACGTTAAAGAAAAAATGAGGAAAAAATGAAAACCATTTATAATTCTATTACCCTTGTATAAAATTATAAAAAACAAAATTCCATGTTAATCTCCAAATATGTGCACATATATTCATATGCTTACAGGTAGTGGATGTACTGTTACATGTTCAACTTAACAGCTATTATGTTTATACAAAACCCATGCACACACAATAAGTAGTATGTGTTCAGTATGTTTACATATGTAATAAATATGTATATAAGTGTACAAGCCTTTTATATGGATACATATGCATTATGTTTATATATAGTCTTTACTAATACTTTAATGCTTTTAGAATATTCCTTATTTGTTAAACCATGTTCCTGATGTTGGACATTCATTTTTTTTTTTTTTAATGAAGAAGGCAAGATTTCATCTGGGAAGTCTGAAAATGTATGGTTTAAGTGCCTGCCTCTTAAACTTAAAGGAATAAAATTCCTCCAAGAAAAACTACCCCTTAGAAAATTCTCACTCCTGGGACCAGCAAATGGTGTAATGGTTACGTCATTGGATTCCCATGTAATTGACCGCAGTTTGAGTCTTGGACCGGGCAGCTTAAAAAAACTCATGCCGGGCACAAATGTGTGCATACTCAAAATCCCAAGATGAGAATGGAAAAGGGACTGCACTGTGACCATTCTCCCCCAGGGGTGGTGACTTCTTGCTTTCTATCTCTCTGTCTTTCTGGTAAGTGCACGCACCTTATAGCAAAAAGAAACTCTCTTAAAAAAAAATAATAAATCACCCCTTAATGAATGTATTTGAAACCAAAACAGTCGTTGTAATTGGCTTGGCTTGTGTCTTGCAGGTTCACAGAGATGCCGAGTCACAGCTGGTTTTGCAGGAGTGGAAAAAGGAAAGAAAGGAGATGAGGTAAACAGGGGCTATTTGTGGTGAGCCCACCACCCTGTTCTGAGTGTGCTCAGTCTACACGTGTTCCCCCTGGGCCAGCTGAGGCATTGTCTTTAACCTTTTTAAGTTCCCAGGTCACTACTCCAGTATCCAGAATCAGCTGTGTGTTGTTAGTGATGCGTGACATGTTAGTGACATGTGACATGTCTCTGGCAGCAGTGGCCTCCATCATACCTCCACCTTGGCCTTTGCCCTTTGGAGATCGTGGGAGGTGGGAACTTTCCCTTCTTTCCTCCTTCCTGCCCGCTGGACTTTACATTGGGCCCAGTGCTGGTGATGGCTACTAGTAGCTCAGTGTGGCTGCTGGGACAGTGTTGGAAATGGGTTCTGAACCCCCATCCAGTTTGTAGGGCTCTAGAACCCTGCTGCTCTTCAGTAACCACAGCTGTTTTGGGCATGTGCCCATGATCTGTAGTCAGAACGTTCATTGGTAAAGTAAGCCTGTTGGCAGAAAGTTCGGCAGGTATGTGTTTTATGGGAATCGTTGCTTAAAAGGGGTCTTGTTGATCATGTGTCCCTCAGAAGGATCATGGGTGTACGTTTGTGCGCTGGTATGCTTGCGGAGGTCCTGGGATGTGAACCTAGGTCTTTGCCATGTGAGTGCAGTTGCATCACTGCCACACCATCGCCTGGCCCTTTCAGCCCTTTTATAATCAGTGTTAATCACCTAAACACCTCCTATTAGACTCCATTTCTCATTATTGTTGCATTGGGGATTTAGGTTTCCAACACAGGCTTTTTGGGGAACGTATTCAAAACAAGGCAGCATATGATGTGATTTGACTTTAGGTCCCCTGCCCCTGAAAGCCAGACCTGTGTCCTGTACATGGACCATTCACTTCCAGGATTCCCAGATTATCTGATAAATAAACTATTTCACCTCTGAATTTGAGTCTCTTAACATTTTCTTTTCCTTTCATATTTATTATTATTATTATTATTATTTTTAGCTTTTTTGCCATAGGACATGGGTGCTAGCTGAAGAGACAGAGAGAGAGAGAGAGAGAGAAAGAGAGAGAGAGAGAGACAGTAAAAGGGAAAGTGAGAAATCATCCCCCACCCCCACCCCAGGGAGATAGCCATACCCACAATCCCTTCTCTATTCTCCTCCCAGGATTTTGGGCATGCATGCACACATGCTTGGTGTGGTTTTCAAGCTGCCAGGTCTGAGATTTGAACAGTGGTTGGCCATGTGAGAATCCAGGATCGTAACCACTACGCTATCTTCTGGCCCCTCAAGTCTCTAACATTTTTGCATCTCAGTATGATTTTTCAGCAAAAGTTTAAAAAATTATTTCTATTGTTCCACCCACAGATGCTCAAGTGGGTTCTTGTAATTTTTTGCTTCATGATTGTGGCATCCACCATCACCCTGTGAGGTCAGACAACTACTAATACCAGCTAGTGGCTTTTATCTCACAGTCATTTGAATGTTTTTATTTTTTTGCTGAATTTGTAACTGATTTATCAATAATCAAATGGTATTTATCCTTGTCTTGTCTAGAATATTCTGTGTGTGTGGGTTCTAGCCATTGGGTGGTGTACATAGAGTGTGTGTGTGTGTGTGTGTGTGAGAGAGAGAGAGAGAGCGAGGAAGATGGGGATGTTGGATGTGGGTTTAGAGACATGTACTCTTATGGACAACCACAGGAGTATAGAACTTGGATGGGGTGAACAACCTTGTCCATGAGGTATTCGAAGCTGTGTATTTGGTGGTAAAGATTTACATTACTATAGAATAATCCTTAATTCCTCAGACAGCAGAGTATGATAGCATTTAAAATATGCACTTTCAAGATGGGGATGTGGGATGTGGGTTTAGAGACATGTACTCTTATGGACAACCACAGGAGTATAGAACTTGGATGGGGTGAACAACCTTGTCCATGAGGTATTCGAAGCTGTGTATTTGGTGGTAAAGATTTACATTACTATAGAATAATCCTTAATTCCTCAGACAGCAGAGTATGATAGCATTTAAAATATGCACTTTCTTGCTTTACTTGGTTCTCATAATGACCTTGCATTAGAAGCGGTCTTTATCCCCTCTGCAGAGGTAGGAAGTTTAGAGACCCTCTAAGAACGTTTCTGCATCTCTCCGTAGGTTTAGAATTATCTCCTGCCCCGTTAGTTTAGGTTTGGAAAATGTGACGCATATTTGAAGGGGCATGAGGTAGAAACTGGAGCCTCAGAACAGTGCTCTCTTGGCTGACACAAGTGGGAAATATGATCAGTGTCATTTTGATAGATGGTTGGACAGACCGTTTTCTTGATTAGAAGTTTGGGTTGCTTTCGCTGAATATTTTTCTCAAGTGAGTCTTACTTTAAAATGATTTTAGTTTCTACAGTTTAAAAACAGACCTTTTTGAGAAACCAGCAGTTAGCATAATGGCTATGTTGCTGGACCTCCCACATAGTCGACTGCGGTTTGCGTCCCAGACCCGGTGACTTAAAACTCATGCCAGGCGCGTGTGTGTGCGTGCCCAAGATCCCGAGAGGAGAATGGAGGAGAAGGGATTGCGGCGTGGCCATCCCCCCTAGGGGGGGTGATTTCTCGCTTCCTGTCTCTCTGTCTCTCTCTGTCTGGTGAGCACACGAGCCCTATAGCAAAAACCTCTAAAAAAAAAAAACAAACCAGACCTTTCTGAATCATGCTCCGTTGCTGTTCTTCTGGCACCTGCAGGGAAATGACCAAGAGTTTCTTCAACGCCCAGTTTGGAAGCCTGTTCCGCACAGACCAGAACCCAACCTACTTCCTGAGGCGCCTGTCGCGATTCGCTGACATCTACATGGCGTCGCTGAGCTGCCTGTTGAACTACGACGTCAGCCACACGTTCTACCCCAGGAGGACTCCACTACAGCACGAACTTCCTGCGTGGTCTGACAGACCCTCCACCTTCGGAGCCCCCCTCCTACAGGAGGCCCAGGCTAAGTAACGGGGCCCACCTGTGGAAAAAGCCAGAAACAGCGGCAGGCCCAGATTGGGCGAATGGGACAGGGTTGACTTTGTGTGGATCTGAGTGTGGCTTTCTGAACGGGCACTACTAAACTTTTTGATACTTATTTTATACCTTATGGAGAATGCTCCCCAGGTGGTGAAGACAGGAGCTAGCAGCCCACCAGCCCTGCCCTTGTCTCTACGGAGGGCAGAAGGGCAAGCTTCGGATTGGAACTCTGATTTAGCTTCATTGTTTACCGAGATCCTGGATCTGACGTCAGTGTCTCTGGGATAGGTGAGACCACTTGCTGCATCTCTGTGTTCCAGCAGGTCAAGTTTTGAAGTGATTCTTGGCTCTTGCATGGAACATTTTTCTGAGCATTTACGGGCACTGTGCTGGGAATTGCAGGGGCACAGTGGCTACAGAGAGACGGCTTGGAGAAAGCCGATGGCTTAGTGAGCTCTGCAGTGGCAAATGCCGTCGCAGGTAGAAGAGATCATTTTCAAGTGGTAGCCAGTTCCCAGATCGTCTTGTTCTCAAGCCTTGGTGTTGTGCTTCTTCGCATCCAAGAGATCTTAGCCTCTCTGGAAGGACTTACATGAGAAAGAGCAAGAGAAGTGATCACTCCTTGACCTTTTGTCTTCTTTTAAAATTCCTAGAGCGCACACACGCTCTCCAGAGAGAGAAAGCCCCCTATAGTGGGGTGTGATTTCACCACATCCTTTTTCTTCAATTCCCCCTTCCTATTAGAATTTTGGGCACATTTGTACACCCAGCATGCTTTACAAGCTGTTGGGATTGGGATTTGAACTGCAGTTGACTGTGTTGAAGGAAATGAAATGCTAGCATGGCATTGAGCTATGGGGGGGGGGAGCTGCTTTGACCCCTTATCTTCAGTGTGTGCGGCCGGCATGCTGTGCATGGTGTAAGTGGTGATTGGATTAGAAGGAAAGAGCTCTAGTTTTTGTGTGTGTGTTTGTTAGATTTTTGCTATAGGGTGTGTGTGCTCGCCAGAGAGAGAGAGAGACAGAAAGTGAGAAATCACCCCCCAGTGGGGGTTACCATGCTGCAATCCCTTCTCCTCCATTCTCCTTTTGGGATTTTGAGCATGCACGCACATGTGCTTGGCATGAAGTTTAAGCCACCGGGCTTAAAATCGAACCATGGTTGACTACATGGGAGTCCAGCAACATAACCTTTACGCCATCTGCTGGTCCCGGGAAGAGATCTAGTTAAAATCACTTTGCAGCTAGTGGAATACTTGTCATAGAATTAGACTGCCAAGAAATGGGTGGGTCTGAAGAACCGGATTGTGCTAGGTCTCCCAGGAACACCATGAACCCGAAAACACCATTGGAGGCTTGGTTTCATGAGCTCATTGAAAGAAAGGAAGTGAAACAGGAGAGAACGACCTTGTAATGAAATGCTGTTCCCTGCCACCCACTGGGCTGAACTGGGATGCTGGAAAAAACCGCATATTTCCAGAAATGATCTTTGTTTGGAGGGAGACACATGAGGCGCCTGCTTCTCTAAAGAATTGCCAACTGAGGAGAGGTGCTTGGCTTGGGCAGGCAGCGCAGGGCGGGGAGTAGTCATTGCCACCTAGTGGGCTCAGCCCTCTGAGATTTCTTTCCTGCTGTGTTTGTGTGGTTGTTGGTGTTCGGATAGTTTTCTTCAGATGGTCAAGAGGGAGAGCCTGGGAAGGAGTGACAAATGCTCTTGCTAGCTGAGTTTTTCTCAGTTCTTTCTAAGAGGAATGCAAGTGGCATATCCTTTTTTTTTTTAAGGGAAAAATTCTTTATTATGTTTGTATTTTACAATTTTTTTCAGTGCAAAGTATGTATTTGGTGCCCTCTCAGCGCTGTAGGAATGCTTGTATTAGTTCTGGTGTTGCTAATAACATTTTACTTTCATATACTGCATAAGTACTTCTGTTTAGATTAGCCTTAGTATTGCTAAAACGCACTTATTTCAGCTGTTGCTGTAATGTGGCATATATTTTTCAATCTAAGAAATGGCAGGAATGTCAACAGGGCTAATGGAGAAGGCTTGCTTATTCTGCATTGTTATTATAATACATGTATCATAACCAGCTAAAGATACAATGCTGATATGGCATCCCATAGGCTACCTGCCAAAACGCAAAGCTAAGTGAGTTCTTTCTATAGCCTCCTTTGTAATTCAGCTTGTTATAATGTGATTTTACATGTCATATTTTGTGTTTAGCTGTAATGATGAAAGGGACCCTTTAGACCCAACTAGAGTGTTTTTTTTTCTCTTCTACATTATATTATAAACACAGTAATGCAGGAGAGTCCATTTCTTTCTCGCCACACGGTAGGCGTTTTATTTGCTTGCTTTTACGTGTTTTGCCCCTGAGGTGTGTTGGAGGTTGGCATTTAGTGGGTATAGGGGAAGCCTAGGACTGCTCAGCTTTAGGTTTTTGCTAAATGAATATGCTGGTGCTCTCGGCTTACAGTTTTTGCTTTGAGAAACAAAGTAAGGAAGGAGGTATTATTTCAGTAAAAAAATTCTTGGGCTGACCTCCTATCCTACTGGTTAAGGCAACCAGCTACTGCAAAGCCGACCTCAGTTCAGATTCTGGCCCTGACGGCTTAAAAAAATATGTCAGATGTGTATGCATATGTGCCTCAAATCCCGACAGGAGGGAGAAGCAGAGAAGAAAGGGTTGTGATGTGACCATGCCCTATGGGGGGATACTATCTCTTTCTCTTTCTCTGTCTTTCTCTGGTGAGCACATATACCTTCTAGCAATATGGGTGACTACAAGGTTTCAGTTGCAGGGTATTTCATTTACTTAAGAATGAAATAGAGCTATTTATAAACCTGCTTTTTTGAATGTCTAGATTGGGTGACCTAAGGCTTCTGGGAGAAATACATTTTCTTGTTATGAGTAATGGGTTTTACAATTTATTTCCATTTAGAATGGTTTCAGTCTCTGGACCATTGAGCTCGGCAGCAATGCAGTCTGCCCGATGGCAGAGGCCTGACTTCTGTCACACCAGGCCCACTGAGCATGCCTAGGGGACTGAAAACCCAGGCCCCAACAGCATGTATCTCACCCCACCATCTTCATATGAAGGATGGGGCATTGTCCCACTTCAGTATTTATCCTATCTGTGCCCAGTCAAGACAGATTTTTAATCTTTCAAAAACATTTATTTATTTATTTCCATTTATTATTATTATTATTATTTAATTTGACCAGACAGAGACAGAAAGAGAGAGAAAGGGAAAGTGAGAAAGCAAGCTGCCAGGCCTGGTACTCGAACCACAGTCAGCGGGGTCCAACACCTTTAACCACCACACCACCAGCTGGGCCCTAGTCAAGACAGATTTTTTTTTTTTTTTGGAGATGTTTTTTGCTACAGGGCAAGTGCGCTCGCTAGAAAGATAGAGAACAACAGGGAGACAAAAACGAGAAATCATCCCCCAGGGGGGGAGGGCCATGCCGCAATCCCTTCTCCTCCATTCGGGATCTTGGGCACGCATGCACACGCGCCCAGTGTGAGTTTAAGCCACCAGGTCCAGGACTTGAACCACGGTTGACTACGTGGGAGTCCAGTGACACAGCCATTATGCCAACTCCTAGTCCCTCAAGACAGATTTTAACTTGTCACTGTCATGACTCTCAGCTGGGATCTGGTACACTGTAATGGGCATTTTTTTTCTTTCTGGTTTCTTCACTGGTATGCACATTGACGAAACATATTGCTACCGGGGAAATGAATATTTTTATTTTAAAAAAAAATCAGTTTTTAAAGCAGACAAGGAAACTTGGGCATTTAAAAAATGAAATTTTTAACTTTGCTGAAAATGGGTTTTCTAAGAATCCTGTGAACAAAAATTTATAGTCCATGGGCAGTCCAAGCCTCCTAGGATGGACCAGCAAGGCTCATGGCACCCACAGCGAATTCTTTTGGAAGGAACTTGTACCACTGATTTTTCCCAGAGTTGCTTTTATAGATGAAACCTGGCTTTAAACATTTTTATGTTTGGCTTAGCGCTCTCCCACATTCCTCCTGGCGTTTCCCACTCACTGTCCTCTCTTTCTCAGTTTTACCTTTTGCTTCATGCTGTTCTCGTGACCCCGCGTAGCATGATTCTCCTGAGCTGATGTAGGTATGTGTCTGGCCAAATCACTAATGATTTTGAATGCACTGGACCTCTTAATTATTGCAAGGGAGAAACGAAAGTCATTTTTCTTCCTAGCTCATTTAGCTTTGGGGGAACTAAGTGGCTTCTCCTTTTTCCTCCTCCCAAAAGGCTTTTAAATAGCAGAAAGAAATCTACTTCACTGAAGCTCACTTGGCAGAGACCCATGTGGGGCCCTTGTGAATACTCTAAGACTGGATTTGGCCAGACAAAGGGTCCTGTGATTGCTCTATTCAACTACTAGCGAGCTTGTGTTTTGCCCTCTTAAAATCAATTTCCTTTTGTACCAGTTACTTTTTTTTCTTTCTTTGTTGTTGTGTTTTGGAGCTTGGTTCAAAGTTCAGCTAACCTTTGACACCTTTAGTGGGTTAAGGCAGTGGTCCCCAGCCTTCCAGGCACCAGGGACTGGCCTCATGGCAGTTGGTCCTTCCCCAGGCTGGGGGTGGGAGTGGAGGTTGGTCCTAGTGCATCTCGTTCAGCATGCACTCTGTTTCCACCACTAACACATTGTACATACAACGAAACAATCACATAATAGGGTTAGCACTCCCCTGAGAATCTGGTACCGCCATTGATCTGACGGGGCAGAGCCCCGGGGCAGTGTGAGTGATGGAGAGTGGCAGCCAACACGGATGATGCCCCGCTTGCTTACCTGTCTCCTCCAACCTCCAACGTGGTAGGCCAGGAGGTGGGGGCAACAGGCCACAGATTGGCACTGGTCTGTGATCTGGGGGTTGGAGACCCCTGGGTTAAGGAAAGGAAAGAGGGTGATGTTTCTCTAATCAGAGTTAGCACACTTCCGTGTCAAGGGCCAGAGAGTACATATGGGCAAGGCTGTGCCCATTACACTTCGATTTATCAGGGCAGGCTGTGGGACCCACTTGGCCCTTGGGCTATGGTTTGTTGGGCTCTGCTGGCTTGTGTTGGTGGCATTGGCAAGAGTCCCTTGCTGAGAGCATGCAGGTATGCACCTCATAGCTTGAATGCAGACAGTAGGAAGGGGTCCTGTGAGAAAGCGTGCCTTCCCTTAAGAGCGCCTTTCTGGAGATGTTTACTTGGGTGGCCAGTGGCGCGTCATCGGCTGCCTGCACTGGTCTTCATTGTTTCACTGCACGCACTTGAATCACCAGGCTCAGGCCTGAATGACCTCTGTTTGCACGAGTTTGTAACTGTGCTGGTAGAGGATACTGGGCTTGGCTGCTCAGAGAACCTTCTGGACTGGAGGACTTCTTCCCATCAGGAGTGCCGATCGTTTGCAGCTGCCAGCCTTCTTTCAGAGTTCATGCTTCTTCCTGCCTATAGCTCTTGACAGCTCCAGGCGAAGGTACAAAGGCCTGGCCTCCACATCCCAATTTGGGACCTCTCTGTGAGGCCATGGGGTCTGCACTGCAACCCAGCTCCCCCCCTGCTGGCCCTGCCTCTTTTTTTTGTTGATGCAGCACCCCCACCCCCACCTCCCCCATAAACCTTCCTGCACACCCGTCCTCACCACGGCATCTGCTTTCTGGGACCCTGACCTGCCACAGTGCTTCTGTACTTTTCTAGTCGTGCAGGCTTGAGCTCTGACTTTTAGGAGACTTTTCTAATTATCTAGTGGAATGACAGGTCGGGCCTGTGTGAGATCAGGCACAATACATGCAAATTAGGTAGACTTATTTATTTGGAATGTGAATTTGCTATTTATTCTAAATGTTGATTTTATGTCTTATGTGATACTGAACTTATTGCCAAATAAAAGTTTGAATTGTATTGTCTGGTTCATTGTCATCTGGTGTTTGAATTATTGTTGTTGTTGTTGACATAAACTTTTTTTCCCCTTAATTTAGCATAAACTGGGACTAGCAGTTGGTGTAATGGCTATGTGGGTGGACTCCCATGTAGTCGACCGCAGTTCGAGTCACAGACCCGGTGGCTTAAACTCATGCCGGGCGCATGTGCGTGCGTGCCCAAGATCCCGAGAGGAGAATGGAGGGGAAGGGATTGCAGCGTGGCCATCCCTCGTGGGGGAGTGATTTCTCACTTTCTCTCTCTCTGTCTCTCTCTGCCTTTCTGGCGAGTGCATGTGCCCTATAGCAAAAACCTCTGCAAAAAAAATTTAGTATGCACTTTTTAATCATTGATCTCTTCCATGAGTGAGAGAGACAGAGACAGATATAACACCCCCAATAGGATCTTGATGCTGCATTTTGGCCCCAGCTTCAGCCAGCCCCAGATCGTGGGCATGGGTGTGCCCTGTGAAATCAGGGACATCTCTAAACGCAAACCCAGAATCTTCTCACGTGGGTCAGCCTTGCAGAGCGTCATGTTTTATTGTCGTGCCACTGTCAGCCCATCTGGCATTGTCAGTTTTTATTTATTTATTTTTTTAAGACTTGCAGAGGATGTGTGTGCTCACCAGAGAGGAGGAGGAAGGAGAAAGCCTCCCTTATGGGGCATGATCACACTTTAATCCTGTTGTGATTTTGGACACACACACATGTGTGCCTGCACCCTGTGAGTTTCAAGCTGGGCCCAGGACTTGAACCATCCTGTGGGATGCATCTCTGGGCAGTAGACCTGCTCTCCACAAGGTCTCACGGACGAGAGACTCAGATTTTATATTTTACACACTTTAGTTGGAGTAAGCTATTCCCAACTAGGGACTTTATCCCTCAGAAATGTAGAATAAAGGTGCTAAGGAAGTTTTAGGTTCCAACCATATTGTGTGTCCCGAGTTTCAGGAATATAATGCAGACTGAGTAAGGTCTCTAAGAATTCAGACTGTCCTGAATTCTGATAAAACTGTGTAATTCTGAAAAACAGCGTAATTGTGAGAGATCCTGCACTGGGGAATGAGAGTGACCTGAAACATCACATCATCACGAAATCCAGAGCCTGAATTCACATATGCGGGCTATGTGCACATTGGGCCAGGGGTCCGGGCGGAACGAGAGCCCTGGGCTCGGGTGGGCAACCTCAGTGGTTACCACTGCATCCCATTCAGTCATGTCACCTGTAGCTGCTCCGTTTCTTCAGACCTCAGCTTCTTATCTGTGAAAGTGTGGTTGGGTCAGGTTTTCAATTTTTTCCTCCCGCTCTGGGACCTTTCCTTCAGCCCTAATAGTCTCAAGAAGAAACTCATGTATAAACCACATAATGTGTCCTGCTTTGCGAGCAGGGGTGTTGTGTAGGGGCACGAGGCATCTCTGAAACCCTTATGCCCAGGGGAGCATGGTGAGTCCAAGCCATCTTCAGTTCTGACACTCGGTGATTCTAGGAAAGGTGAGTTTCATTGAGGCAAAGAAATGGGAGTATACAGTGTGGGCTGGTGGCCTCAAGGGGGCGCTGCGCCAAGTTCACTGGAGGTGCCATCAATAGTAAAGGGGGTGGCACTGGTCTTCAGCGTTGTTTTGATTCAGCACCCTACCCTAGTGGGGCGGGGGGTGGTATCCAAGGCTTGGCTTCTTCCCAGTTTTCATCCAACCTCTGGTGATGGATTCACCTGAAGGCTGGCTTCTGTGGGTAGGGGCAGGGTGCTATAGCAGGTGCAAACTTCATGGGAAAGCCTGCTTTGTGGTAACGTAATCTTTTCAAGTGAACATCCCCAAATAATATTGTAATTCTGCCTGCTATCTGTTCACTCCCTGGGCAGAGATTTCATTTTCTTCTCTGACAGAAGAGATTTCAGTGCAAATCACTCCGGCAGTGTGCCCAGGATGACAGGGATACGTTAAATTGTATTAAAAAGAGCCTGAGGGGGAACCAGCAGTTAGCGTAATGGCTATGTTGCTGGACTCCCACGTAGTCGACCGCGGTTCACATCCTGGACCCGGTGGCTTAAAACTCACGCCGGGCGCGTGTGCGTGCGTGCCCAAGATCCCGAGAGGAGAATGGAGGAGAAGGGATTGCGGCGTGACCATCCCCCCTGGGGGGTGATTTCTCGCTTTCTGTCTCTATGTCTCTCTCTGTCTGTCTGGCGAGCGCACGCGCCCTACAGTGAAAATCTCTCCAAAAAAAAAAAAAAAAAAAAAGAGCCTGAGGGACCAGTAGATGGCATTATGGTTATGTCGCTGGACTCCCACATGGCTGACTGTGGTTCGAGTTCTGGGCATGTGTGTGTGTGTGGGGTGGGGGCAAATCCTGAGAAGAGAATGGAGAAGGGATTACCATCCCCAGGAGGGGTGATTTCTCACTTTCTGTTTCTCTGGTGAGCACATAGGCCCTATAGCAAAAATCTCTCCCTCCCCCCCCCCCCCTCCCTCTCAAAAAAAAAAAGCAAGCCTGAAAGAAGCCAGCCAATTTATAATTAGAAATACGATGCATTGATTCTAGTTATCATGTCTTTAGAATTTTTTTAAAAGACAGATGTAATTAACATTCTATGAAATTCACTGTTTTACATGTACAATTCAGTGGTTTTCAGTACATCCACTACTGCCAAACTCCAGAACCTTTTCATCTCCCCAGAAAGAAGCCCCGTACTCGTTAGCAGTCACTCCTCCTTCTTTTCTGGTACCCATTAATCTACTTTTGGTCTGTGTCCTTCTTTTCTGGTACCCATTAATCTACTTTTGGTCTGTGTCCTTCTTTCCTGATACCCATTAATCTACTTTTGGTCTGTGTCCTTCTGCCCGTTCTCTGCATCGCATGTAAGTGGAATCACACACTGTGTGGCCCTTTGTGACCCTCTTCCTTCACTTGGTATAATGTTGCTAGTTCATCCATATTGTTGTATGTACCAGCACTTAATCTCCTTTAGGGTGAATAACAGTCCACTGTGTGGGTACAACTGAACCTGCCACTCATCTGATGATAGACATTTGGGTTGCTTCCACTGAGTCGCAGTCTTCGGGGTTCTTTTTGGCTATTATGAATATGCTACTGTGAACATTCATATTTGACTTTTTTTTTGAGTTTTTTTTTTTGCTATAGGGTGCATGCGCTCGCCAGAAAGAGTGAGAGAGACAGAGAGACAGAAAGCGAGAAATCACCCCCCAGGGGGGATGGCCATGCCACGATCCCTTCTCCTCCATTCTCCTGTCAGGATCTTGGGCACGCACACACACACACACACCCAGTGTGAGTTTAAGCCACCGGGTCCGGGACTCGAACTGCAGTTGACTACATGGGAGTCCAGTGACATAGCCATTACGCTAACTGCTGGTCTCCATATTTGACTTTTTATGTAGACGTATTTTTATCACTCTTAGGTATTTCTAGGTCATATGGTAACTCTATATTTAACTTCTTTAGGAACTACCAAACTTTTCCACAGTGGTGGTACCATTTTACACTCCTACCAGCAATATATGGAGGGCCCGGTTTCTCCACATCTTCGCCAATCAGTGGACTGCTGTTCATCCTGAAGGAGATGAAGGACTGATACATACACCACTATGGATGAACCTGGTGACATTATACCAAGTGAAGGAAGAGGACTGCACAGTGTATGATCCCACTTACTGGTATCTCATGGTGGTTTTCATGTCTTCTTGAAGTAAAAGAACTTAAAAAAGAAAAATTCACAGGGCAGATGTTGGCTAGTTGAAAAGGCCTTAATTAGTTCTAATAAGGGGATTTTGCCATTTATTCGATCCTACCTGTGGGGTTTCTGTTTCCCCAAATAGTGATTTATTTCACTGATTTTCTGCTTCATAAACATTTATTGAGCACTTTTCTTATGCCACCTCTGTGCTGGGGTACAAAGACGAATGAGACAAGTCCCTGCCCTTGGGAGCTTACAGTCTAACAGGGAAATAAGATCATGGATACCCATCTGCAGGGCACAAAGGAAGGACAGTGGTGGGTTAGAGGAGGAATTCTCCCTGAGCAGACTTAGTAATAGTGACCCCTCACCCATGGAAACACAATAACCCCAGATTTTTTTTTTGGAGAGATTTTCACTGTAGGGCGCGTGCGCTCGCCAGACAGACAGAGACATAGAGACAGAAAGCGAGAAATCACCCCCCCAGGGGGGATGGTCACGCCGCAATCCCTTCTCCTCCATTCTCCTCTCGGGATCTTGGGCACGCACGCACACACGCCCTGCGTGAGTTTTAAGCCACCGGGTCCGGGACACGAACCGCGGTCGACTACGTGGGAGTCCAGCGACATAGCCATTACGCTAACTGCTGGTTCCCTCTATTTAACTTCTTAAGGAACTACCAAACTTTTCCACAGTGGTGGTACCATTTTACACTCCTACCAGCAATATATGGAGGGTCCGGTTTCTCCACATCTTCGCCAATCAGTGGACTGCTGTTCATCCTGAAGGAGATGAAGGACTGATACATACACCACTATGGATGAACCTGGTGACATTATACCAAGTGAAGGAAGAGGACTGCACAGTGTATGATCCCACTTACTGGTATCTCATGGTGGTTTTCATGTCTTCTTGAAGTAAAAGAACTTAAAAAAGAAAAATTCACAGGGCAGATGTTGGCTAGTTGAAAAGGCCTTAATTAGTTCTAATAAGGGGATTTTGCCATTTATTCGATCCTACCTGTGGGGTTTCTGTTTCCCCAAATAGTGATTTATTTCACTGATTTTCTGCTTCATAAACATTTATTGAGCACTTTTCTTATGCCACCTCTGTGCTGGGGTACAAAGACGAATGAGACAAGTCCCTGCCCTTGGGAGCTTACAGTCTAACAGGGAAATAAGATCATGGATACCCATCTGCAGGGCACAAAGGAAGGACAGTGGTGGGTTAGAGGAGGAATTCTCCCTGAGCAGACTTAGTAATAGTGACCCCTCACCCATGGAAACACAATAACCCCAGATTAACCAAAGAGATGAAGTGTAGCTTTAAGTGCTCCATACTTCAAAAGGTTGAAGGACCTTGCATTCCCCAAAGGCTGCTGAGTGCTGAGAATTCACAGCTGACAGCCTTTTCGATGAAGCCCTGTTGGCCCAGGTGGCAATGGGGAGGGCTGACTGCTCACGTCCAGGCCCTCACAGCGCCCCCAGGGGATCGCTGCTCTCCAGCTGCTGCTCCTCAGAGTCCTGGAAAAGAGAGCCCTGTGAAGCATGGTTCAGGGCACAGACTGCCCTGCATACTGAATCCTTCCAGGTAGAGCGTTTCTTTTGGCCACGGTCTGAGGGCTGTGAGAATTCCTCTCTCAAGCACTGTGTGCACACTCCTCATGTTGATAGGCAGGATGGTGTGGCAGTGAGGGCCACCCGTTCTGGGGGCCACCAGTCTTTGCTGCTTGAAGCTGGTGGCTCTGGACAATCAGATCACTCTGCTGCAGTTTCTTCCTTTGTAAAGGGTCATAATAACATTTAGCTGGGATGTGTGAGGATTAAATTAGACACTATATTTATGAAGAATAAGCACTCCACAAAAGGTGGCCATTCATGTAAGTATAAAAAGCTCTCTTTAGTGAACTGGCCCCAACACACAGTGGTTAAGCCCTGTGCATAGGGAGCCACATCCTACATGGCTGATGGTGGCTGGAGTCCTGGCTCTGGTGGCTTAAAAAAACACACCAGGTGGGACCAGCAGTTAGTGTAATGGCTATATCTCTGGACTCCCATGTAGTTGAATGTGGTTCGATTTCTGGACCCAGTGGCTTAAACTCACACCAGGTGCGTGTGTGTGCATGCCCAAGAGAGGAGAATGGAGGAGAGGGGATTGCAGCGTGGCCATCCCCCCTGGGGGTGATTTCTCGCTTTCTGTCTCTCTGGTGAGCGCATGCACCCTATAGCAGAAAGCTCTCCAAAAAAAAGAAAAAAAGAAAAAAAGAAAGAAAGAAAAAGCTCTCCAAAAAAAGAAAAAAAGAAAGAAAGAAAAGAAAAACACACCAAGTGCATGTGTGTGCATGCCCCAGGTCCTGACACGATGGAGAAATGGAGAAAAAGTGGCTTGCTTTCGCACTTTCTCTCTCCCTCCCTCTCTCTCTCACAAGTGTCCTGCCCTCTGGCCATGGTAAAACAAAGCCCTCTGCCCTGGGCCAGCAGTGTGGAGGTTAAGACAGTGAGATCCTACCTAGCAGACTACATGATTCGAGTCCCGGACCTGCAAGCTTGAAAAACATGCCAGGTGCATGTGTGCCCAAAATCCTGAGAGGAGAATGGAGGAGCAGGGATTGCAGTGTGGCCATGCCTCTTGGGGGGTGATTTTTCACTTTCCCTCTCTTTTTATTTCTCTCTCTGTGGGAGTGCACATGCGCTGTGGAATTAAAAACAAAGAAAAAAATAAACCCCAAGCCCCTTTGGGTTGAAAATTCATCCTGAGCCAGTGATGTGAGTGTCTGAGAGAGTAATCAGCAGCCGCACTCCAGGGGCAGCCAGCCCATGCCTTCCGCTCTCCTCAGCTCTGCTCAGCGCCAAGGCCTTGCTAATCCACGTAATGAATGCTAGAAATGGCTTTTTGTGGGTGCAAGTGGTTATGTAGAAAATGTATAGATGGGCTACACATACTGTACAGGCCCCCCCAACTCTCCAGTAGAAAAGTTTGTGAATCTACTGGGTCATTAGAAAAGTCATGACCCATTTTTGCATCAAAAAATACATCATGACTTTTCTGACACCCAATAGTATATCATTTTTGAGGCTCGAATTTAGGATTAAGAGTCCTATTTCTGGAATATGTTTTGCCATTTGATCTGAATAGAAGGCTTAGCTGAGTCCTGCTTCTAAGGCGGCTCTCACCTAACACAAGTGAATCTTTCTGGAAACCTTAGTTGAGAGTGGACAGCTGGGAAGGCATGGGGCACACTGAACAGGACATAGTAATTTTTCTTTCTTGCTTTTCTTTTCTTTTTAAAAATTTGATACAGGGCACATGCTCTTTCCAGAGAGAGAAAGAGAGAGGGAAAGTGAGTAAACACTCCCTAGGGGGGATGCCAACACCTCAATTCCTTCCCCTTCATTTTACTTTTGGGATTTAGGGCATGCACGTATACACACCCAGTGTGTTCCTCAAGCCGTCAGGTCCAAGATTCTGTGCAGTTGGCCATGTGGGATCCAGCCCCCTTAACCACCATGCTACCAGCTGGACTCTTCTCTGCTTTTTAAATGAAATTGATCATAATCCCTCCTTCTTCACTCTCCTCCTGGGACTTTGGGCTTGCATGCACTCATATCCGGCGTGATTTTCAAGCTGCAAGGCCCAGGATTCCAACCACAGGCAGCTATGTGGGAGTCCAATGCCTTAACCACCATGCCACCTGCTGTCCTCAAAGCCTTATGTCTTTTTTTTTTTTTTTTTTTTTTGAGGGGGTTTTTTTATGGGGCCGTGCAGAAAGACAGAGACAGAAAGCGAGAAATCACCCCCCGGAGGAATGGCCACGCCACAATCCCTTCTCCTCCATTTTCCTCTTGGTATCTTGGGCACACACACACACACACACACACACACATACCCAGTGTGAGTTTAAGCCACCTGGTCCAGGACTTGAACCTTGGTTGACTATATGGGAGTCCAGCAACATAGCCATTATGCCAACTGCTGGTCCTGAGCCTTACGTCTTTTTTACACATGCTACCTTATCAATCTTTGTGGAAGAATTCTGCCCAAGGCTGCTTTTTTGACTATGAGATCGGGGTTGGGCAATGTCTAGTTTTTCCTTACGTATCTCTAGTTGTTTGAGGCTTCTGTCATCTACCCAAAAGAACTCTGAACAGTCACTTTGGCTTTAGTCAACTTGCAAAACTGACTTTTAGGCTTATTGCTCGAGACATTCTAGAAGTGATCTATTCTTGGTGTGAAGTTTTTCACTGAGATTTGCTGAAAGACATCATGTCCCTGCATTCCAACTGAGGCCATTTCTAGATAGAAATGCAAACTTACTGTGAAGGGGTCGTAGGAAGGTTCTGGGGGAGCTGAGGTTGTGCTCTCGTATATAGGGTTGGAGATATTGTCAGGCTTCTGCTTGCCAAGAGCTGTAACGTCAATGTCCTCTTCCGACTGTTTGGAAAGACAAGCACAAGGCTGAGAGCCAGACCCATCCCAAAGCAGAAGTATCTCATCTGAGTTGGCAGGCAAAGCAAGGCATCTTCTGCCTCAGGGAGCTTTTTCCCATTTTTAAAAAAGAATGTGTTTATTTATTTATGTATTTAATGAAAGTGTGTTTATTTATTTTCCCTGAGCAAGACATACACAGAGGAGAGAGTGAGAGTACCCTCAAGAGGGTTCTGATGCCATAATCCACTCCAGGCCCTTAGCCGGCCCCAGGTCATGGATGAGTGTATGCCTGGCATTCTCAGGGAGGTCTCTGGACTTGAACTGGGAACTTTTCTATGTGGACTACCTTGTAGAGCACAGTGTTTTCACCATTGCACCACCATCTGGCCCCATGGGAGCTTTTCCTTTGTAACAGTACTTGGCTGAGAAATGATTTACAGATAACAAAACGCACCGGTCTCAAGGTTCTGCTCAGTGACAGCTCACACATGCCCACCCAGGTGTGACCACTACACAGATCAGCACACAGGGCATGTGTACAGCCGGAAGTACTCTGATGCCTCTTTCTTGCCAACTGTTCCCACCCAGACTACCCTTGGTTCTGACTTATCTTCCTGCAGTGGTGTTGCCTGTCCTTGACTTCAATATGAAAGACTCACATAGCATGGACACTCTTGCTACAAATAATATTTTTGAGATGTGCCCTGGATCTTAGAAATATGCACAGTGTCTGAAGGTCACTGTGTGCTGCTGCTGCGTGGGGGTCTGCACAGTGGTTGCCAGGTGTGTTTTGAGGAAGCAGCAGCAGGAAAGGGTGAGTCAGCGTGGAGTGCAAAGTACCTAGGGAGGATGCTCAACTGCTGGGGTATGGCCATCCAGGCTCCTGGGGCCACCACCTGGTCAACCAGGAGTTTGCTGCTGACCTGGAGGGAGACCTAACTGCTCAGTGAATGCATTTTGCTGGCTGCACATGAGGCCTCTGACTGTGCAGGTCCTTGACCTTGACCTCTGACTCTCAGAGCCAGTCCTGAAGCCCAAGCCAATCATGGTGGATGCTTGTCTAGTGAATCCTCCAAGGTGACTGGACTCCTGGGCCCTGGTGAACTTGCCTTTAAGCCGAGTCCCTGGAATGGAGGCTAGAGGGTCTCTGATGCTGGCAGTCCCTCACCCTCCTCACCAAGCTCTCTCTCAGCCATGAAGAGGAGCTTAAGCTACTACTGATGCTCCTCCTAGGAGCGGGGATCCCACACAGGGGGTGTGGGACAGGGTGGTGGTGTGGTGGCTGCCCCTGCTCCTATGCTGAGTGCCAACTCCTGGCTAAGATCTCTGAAGTAGCACAGATCCAGGGCAGGATTTCAGAGGGGTGCCTCCCTCATCATGTTCTTGTTTTTTTGGTTTCTTACCTCAAAACGCTGGAAGCCAAATGTTCTTCGGTTTAGCCGAAAGTAAGAATAGGCAGCCAAAGTGATGGCTCCAATGACCAGGATGATGGCAAAGAATATCCCTGTTCCCAAGCCAGCGTGAGTTGAAGGCTGAACATAGAAAGGAGAGGGGTCAAGTCATAAGAGGGTGGTTCCCTAACAGAGTATGCTTGAAGGAGCTCCCTCTGTTCTTGCTGGCCCGAGGCATCTTGGAGCCAGCTGGGATAAAAATAATGGTAAGAAACATGGATGTAGCCCTCACTGCTGCCAGGGTCTGTTCTAAGTCTCTTACATGCCATGACCCACTTAAGTGCTATTATAGCCCAAAGACACAGAGACAGCTGTTGCTTCCATTTTTATATGGGGGGACTGAGGCACAGGCAGGATAAGCACTTGCCCAGTATCACACTGTCACTTAACAGCCCTGAACTTTGGAGTTTACATGCTTCGCTGCTGTGCTATGGAACTTACCAGCAGCCAGCAGCTCACTCCTCCCCTTAACTCAGAATACTAATGGCAATAACCTCTACCAACTTTAATATAGCGTATCAGGGGCTGCTTTAATTACTTTACACTTATAAGCTCATAGCCTGCCCCCAAACCCAGCAAGGGAACCATTATGACCCTTGTTAAGTTGATGAGAAAATTGAGGCTCAGAGGTAAAGTGAAGTAAAGATCAACCCTGAGCTCAAAATTTCTCACTCCTTTTCTCATGGTCCTCCCATTGACCTATCCTACTCCTTTTGTTCAGCATAAATATTATTCAGACAGGTGCTGTGCTGCTGATGCGTGGGAGGGGATGGGATGAACCAGGGCTGGGCTTTTCCAAAGCCAGCTGTCTTGGATATGGGAGGTTCTTTTAGTGTTTGGAGGAGAAGGATGGTAGACAGGGCTTTCAGCAATAGTTTGCCTCTGGGAGAGTAGGCACTGGGCTCCTCCTGTCTAGCAACCCTAGATACTCACCACTGGAGGTGCTTTCAAAGGCTTGGAAATGACATGAATGATCCCATTGGAGGCAAAGATGTCCCACTGCAGAATGGCTCTTCCATCAACAAACCTGGTCTCCTCCTAGGGAAATGGGAGAGGGCTGATGGAGATCTGTGACCTTCTGGCTGTTCCTCCCCATGTGAGCAGCCTTTCTGGGAGGGATGATGTTCAGTTTCCCTGAGGCTCCAGCACCTACGTTCCAGGTCTCTCTTCACTGACAGCCAGCACAGGACTACTGCTCATTTTCTGAACAACCTAGAATATTCGGCTTGCCCTCATCCCAACAAGTTAATCTAAGGACTATAAACAACCTCAAGGGTAGTTTTTCTAACCCACTTGTCTGACAGATGAGTCATTAAAAGGAAAATTACTTGTCTAAAATCACTGAAGTTGTAAGTGGTAACCTTCATGCCTCTGGACTCTGGGTCCACCGAATAGCACACAGAATGTTAAAGGGATTTTCCAGTGATCTAATCCCAGTGTGATCCTCTAGATGCTGCCCCTCTTCATAGTCACAGTCTACATTTTAATAAATCTCCAGGTGATACAACTACACATTAAAGTTTGAGAAGCCTAGTCTACACGACTGCTCTTCAATAACAGAAATAATTTTTTTTGTTAATTTTTTTTAATTTTTACTTTTTTCCATCCAAAATACACTGTGTATTGGCTCAATCAAGTACATCAACATACATGTTTTCAGCAAATAATTTTCCAATTCTTATGTCTTGTATACTTTGTTTTTTGTTTTGCCATCCTTGATTCCCTATCCCTCACCCTCTGCCATGTCTCACCCTCCTCCCACATTGCCTCTGGCGTCCATGGTTGCTTTCTATGCCTCCCCCCCCATTTAATTGATTTGCTAATGAGCTTAATTAGTCTAAATATATCCAATAGCTAGCACAGCTGATATATACCTATACATGAACCCAAGTCTGACTTTAGGCATAAACCCCAGTGAGTAGAGTGAACATATTATAAAGTAGTATCCAGTTGGGGCTATACAGCTTACTGGAGTCATCAAATATGCATTTTTTTAAAAAAATTTCGATACAAACAGTTTTACCGTTTTTTTTTCTCCTGCAACTTTTAAAAAAATTACTTAACATTCATTCCCTGAGCATCATCACAACGTACTAAATGTGGTTTCCCATCTAGAATAAACTGCATAGTGGCTTCGTCATGCATAATAACAGAAATAATTTATCAGGTGTAAGAAATTACACTTATTTAATACTTGCTACATATCAGGTATTACTCTCTGCATGCTGTAAGCCTGGAAGCACGGAATCCCCACAACAGCCTATGATTTGGACAGTACGGTCATCGTGGTCATCATCATGGTCATGGTTGTCGTCACCATCAGCACCGTCACCACCACCACATCACCATCAACGTCATCCTTGCCATCACTACCATCATCAGTGCCATCACCACCACGAACACCATTACGTCATCACTGAGGGGGTTCAGACATGCCACCTCAAAATATGTAGACACAGAAAGAAAGCTCTGACCTTCCCCTTTTTACCAAAAAGCAGGTGATAAAAGTTCTTAGGAGGAAGGTGACCTCCCTCTATGAAGAAGAGAACATTTTAGTTACCAGGGGAGTTGACACCCTCATCCTCCCTAGTTAAATAATCCATCCATTATTTCCTCATCCTCCACTACTTTCCCTCATGTTTCCTAGTCACTGTCCCAAAGCTTACTGCCTTAGCCCAGATCCTTTTATCTTGTCACTTCACAAATTTATTGTTTTTGTTTAAAAAAAGTGTGTAAGTGGGCCAGCAGGTGGCATAGGAAGGTGCTGGATCCCATATGGCTGACTCTGTAGTTTGAATCCCAGACCCAGTGGCTTGAAAATCATGCTGGGCATGTGTGCGTGTGTGCCCAAAATCCTGAGAGGAGACTGGAGGAAAAAAATTGCAGTGTGGCCATCCACCACCCCCCTCCCGGGGAGTGATTTTCCTCTTTCTCTCTGTCTCTCTCTGTGTCTCTGGCAAGTGACTTATAGCAAAAATCTCTCTTAAAAAAGAATAAATAAAAAAGTGTGTAAATTATTAGTTCTAATTGCTTCTTTGTGCTCATTTTCTTTTGTGCACGTAAAATATTAAATAAATTTTGTATGTTTTCTCCTGTTATCTACCTTATGCCAATTTGATTTTCAGGCCTTGTCACAGACTCTAAGGGGGAGCAGGGAGTTTTTTCTTATATTTTCTTACATCACCATTATCCCCATTTATCCGATGAAGAAATGGAGACACACAAAAGAGTTGAGTAACTTGGCTAAATTCTTACAGCTAGCAAGTGGCAGGACTGTGATGCATATTGGGGTCATTTGACTTTCAAGCTCGCATGTTAATACCAGGGATAGACTGACAATCTGACGGTTTTGAAGTGGTTTCACTTCTTATCACTGGCTTCTGAGGTTGGCCTACTCCTCCACCAGCTGGTGTGGTGTGCTGCGGTGTGCAGTTAGTTCCATCATTTTAGAGCTTGTACATTATTATAGTCTATCAGGCACCTTTTACATGCCGGGAACCTTGCCTGTATCATCTCCAGTTCTCCCAATAGGCCCAGAGACTTCTCTTACCAACTGGGGCTGGTCCTGGCTGGAGGTGATGAGCAGCTGGCTCCCCAGCCTAGTCTGCAGGATAGTACCGTTGACAAGGTCATTGTAAAAGAAGATGCTGACACTGGCAAGGTGGTGCTCAATGTCCCGCCCAGACAGGGTCTGAGAGGAAAGAAGAAACAACAAGAATGATCTTTAAGGGTCACACAATAGCAGCAAGTGTCAAGTTTTTTTCAGACTTCTGGTTGTCTGGGTTCTGGCGGAGAGTCACCTATAACTAGGATGTGGGACTGACAGTCATCTTCATTGTCTAGAATGGAGCTTCTCAACGGTGTGCTGGGAAGAAAGGGTCTTATGTGAGTAACAGGTGGGCAGAGATATGGCTCCTCTGAGCCCTTGGGTGGCTGGAGAGGGTCTAGGACTGAAAAAACCTGCAGGTCAACCACCTAGGGTGGATTGAATAAACACTGTGAACTCTTGTGTGGCGTGACATGAAGAAGGGTGATATGGTAGACTGATTGCACCAATGGCACCAGCTTGTCACCCCTTCCTGCATGTATGCTTTTTTCTCCTTTCCTCCCTTCCTTTCTTTTTTTTTCAGCATTAAAAAAATATTTCTTTCACAAGCAAAAGAAGAAAAAGAGAAAGCGAGCATGCATGCACATTCCAACATGGTCTTGATGTCATGAGCCACCCCTAGCCAGCGCTGGATCATGAGCACACGTGTGCCCAGCATACTCAGGGAGGTCTCCACATGGGGACCTGGACCCTTCTCATGTGCGTCAGCCTCACAGAGCATCACGTTTTACCACTGCATCACCGTCTGGCCCCCATCTCTGTATTCTTGCCCTTTGCCATTGAACTCTGAATGCCTCTCAGTCTGACTTTGGGCTTAACCATGTGAGCTATTAGACTTAAACAGAGGCTTGAAGAGCACTGGTAGGTGGGCTTGCACTCACCCCTCTTGTGTTCCCATGAACATGCCCAGGCTATCCTGTTGGAGCATGAGAGCCTTGTGTAGCAGAGCCACAGACAAGCCAGCCTAAAGCAGCTGCCAGCTGCTCTGAGTGTGCTAGGACCAGAAGAGACAGCTGACTGCTGATGTGTGTGCTAAATAAACAAGTAGCCACTGAGTTTGGGGGCAGTTTGTAACACAGTATTGTTGTAGTGATAGATAAGTACTGTTGGTATAAAGTGCCAGAACCAGGGACCACACTCACCTCGTTTTTCCCTAACCCACTGTTCTCTGGCACAAAGAGGGTATTGCGGATCGACAGGTCAGTCAGGCGTTTCAGAAACGCTCGGCCTCTGGCTGAGCTGTTGGAATAGGCCAGCACCTCCTGGGGAGAGGAGGGAAGTCATCAATTGACCAGCCCCGGTGGGTGAGGATGGGGGTGATTGGAGAAGGCATCACTCTTGTGGGAATATTCCTGGTGTCAGCCCCAACTCAGGCTGTCAGTCCTTTGCTGTTCTTCTGACTAGCCCTCAGAGAGTTTTCAGAGGGCTTTGCCTTTCCTAACCCAATAGTCTAATATTACTAATCCCAGAGTCCTGAGACACAGCTGTGTTATGGCCCATTCTCAACAGGGCAGCCTGAGCCTCCCTCTGAAACTTAGGTCAAATCTCATCTCCTCAAATCCCTGCCATGACTCCCACTTCACTCAGAGGAAAAGTGAAAGGTTCAGGAGGCCCAAAATGTTGGTCACTATTGCTCCTCTGACCCCAGTTCCCGTGCTCCTCTCTCTCGACTCTGCTTCAGTCCTGCTTGCTTCCTTACGATTCCTCAAACCAGTTGGACACATTCCTGTCTTCCATCCTTTGCCCGGCCATTCCTTCTGCCTGGAACGTTCTTCCCCCAAGTCTTCATGGCTAGCTCCCTAACTCCTATTTACACTCTGCTCAAATGTCATCCTCTCAATAACCCTTCCCTCATTACTCACACAAAGTGGAATCCTCTGGTGCCCCACCTTGATCTCCTTGTCTCTTTCTATAGTAGATTCTCTTTCTAGCACTCAATTCTGTTTATTCGTTCATGCTATTTATTATTTTGATGGCCTATTTATCTCAGTGATAAATCGCGTAGTCTGTGCTCAATAAGTATTCATGGTACAAACTTTAAGGGATTGCTCCACTCGGTTCAACTCTGTCATTGCACAGACAGGGCTACCAAGACCCATAAAGGAAAGTCACTTGTCTAACACGCAAGTGGCAGACTCAAGCTTCGAAATCAGGCAAAGTGGTCCAGTGCCCATGTTCTTGACCAGAGATGTGAGCTTTCAGCTTCTCTTAAGGACTCACCTCTCTAATGCCTGTTTTGAGGCAACCTCCCCTGCCCTCACCCCCAGCAAAACCAAGCAGACATATTACATACCATCAGGAAGTTTGTGAGTGAGGGCGAGGACATCAGGACCTGCAGCAGGTTCCCATTGCACGAGAAGCCATCTCCCACATAGCCCACCTTGCAGGAGCAGTTCACATCTGGAGGGCAGAGGCACACAGGGTCCCATCCCATGTCAGGAATGGGTCTGGGCTGCCCTGCTCACCCTGGAGGCTTGGCTGGCTAGGATGGGGGTTTCTTAGCTGCATGGCCAGGAACCCGAGGCCTAACTGGGGCAGTTACCTTTCATCCGATAGCAGAAGACATCCCACATTTCACTCTTGTTGAGTCTAGTTCCATAGTCTATTATGCCAACAACGCCTGCGCCACAGGTCTGGGAGGAGTAAGCTGTGGGATAGGCGACCCGCCCACTCTCCAACCAGCCCGCTGAAACGAGGCCTGCGGAGACACAGCCGTGGCCACAGGTCAGTGGTAATTTCCTATTTGTGTGAAATCATTCGGTTAATGTCTGATTCCTCCATCAGATTGTAAACATCATGGATCAACCTCGTTTTGCCTGTTGTGCCTGGCACACAGGAGGTGTTCATTAAACTTTTGTCGACTGAACCACTGGATGAATGAAAGTGGTGGCTTTTCTTGTAGGTGCCTGAATCCTTCATACTCATCTCTTTTCTCTCTGCTCTTGAGAAAGAATTTGTTATCAGCCATTTACTCCTGGTGAAAACTCTTCACTTAGTGGTTGATAGAACTCTAACTGATGATAGACACCTAATTATTTATTATCAGCATTATTGTCATCATCATCATAACACTTACTAAAAGCTCATTCTGGGCTAGGTCCTCTCACAAGGGCTTTTCATGTGCCAACACATTTAACCCTCATATCAAACCTATTATTGTAGGAATCTTTTTATCCTTATCATATATAGAGTTAATAACATTGAGGCAAAGTGAAGTAAGTTGCTCAAAGTCATACTGCCAGGGAGAAAAGCTGGGATTAGAACCCCAGGCAATCTACTCCAGATCTTAGTAACCTTGAAAACTAAGTTCCTACTGTGGGCCCTTTACATTTAGTCCTTACACAAATATGTCAGGTAGGACAGGGGTTTCAATGGCTTGATTTAAGTCCACACAACCAGCAAGCAGGAAAATAGAGATTGAGGCCCTCCAAGATGCTGGGTCTAGCACCAAAGCTTTGTTCCTCAGCAAAGGAATATCAGGTCTGAAGAAAGGTAGAGAGATGAGGCAGTGATGGAGGTTGGAGGAAGGGCCCTAAAATCATGCCATGTAGGCAGTCGCCTCCCCTGCTCCCAGTGAGAAATCACCAGCAGGCAAGCCCTAAGTACTGGTTTTTCCAAATAGGCAGAGCTTCTGATGTTGGAGACTACATGATTAGCCCCAACCAGAGAACTCCATCTCCTCCCTGCTGTGGCTGCGAGTCGGAGCAGTCCTCACTTATTCTCTTCACAGCCCCTCAAGTCACTGAGAAACCTGACGACTTTGTGGTTCAGGGAGATCCTACCTTGGCTTGTGGTTATTGATCTCTCTTCGGATTCCAGTCATGAGGTATGCCCTCCCAGTCTCTGCCTCTGCCTGGGCAGTTGGATGTCTTGGTTGAGAATAGGCCTTTGGAGTCAGGGCTACATTTAAATCCTAGACTGCCAACTCTTGCCTGGGTGACATTGGACACCATACTTAACCTTCCCAAGCCTTGGTTTCCCTATCTGTAAAATGGGAATAGTGATACCTACCTCGAGGGATATTGAAAGGACGGACAATAACGTCAATGAAGCTCCTTGCACGGTGCCTAACATGTAGTAGGCGCCTGATAAATGGATGTGATGAATTGATATTATTGTTCCAGGAGCTTCCTGTTCTGCTTTCTGAGAAGGCAACATCTTAATTCTCTCTCATCTTAAGAAGAGGTTTCACCCTCCTCACCTACAGATGCTGCCCACAAAGCGCTCACTCACTAGGGACCCACCTTCTGAGCATAGGAGAGCTGGTTGTAGGTTGCCATGGTTGCAGATTCATTGGCACAGGCTTCTCTGGCTTTGTCAAAGGTCAGCTTGTATCGCCCCAGTGGGGAGCGTAGATGGAACACCCCAAGAGTGGAATCTACAAGAGGAAGGCAAAGAATCATCTTAGTCAGCTCTAATGGTTGGGACCCCTCCACAGAAGACTTTGAAGGACCTTCACAGTGGAAGGCTGGCTGTACCCTAAGTTGTCTTCTGTCCACTTTCCCTTTGAGTCAGCTGGAAGTACATCATTTAAAGAATTGATTTCTTTTCTAATTATAAAAACAGCATATGTTTGTTGTAGAAATCAGGGCAATACAGAAAAGTAAACAAAAAATCACCTATAATCCTATCCCCTGGAAATAATCATTACCTGATGGTAACATTTTAGTTTATTGCTTTTCAGAATTTTTAATTTTTTGTAACTTTTTATTTTGATAATTTCACATTCTTCATCTTTTTCCCTATTCATTTATAAGTCATATATATTACAAATCTGCATGCTGCAAATACAGTTTTCAGAAATATTTTAAGCTGAATATTAAATCATGATTATTTCTCAATATTGTAAATTTTCTGTGGTAACATGATTTTCTCCAGTATTTACAATTGAATAGCTTTTGAGACTTTTATAGCTATGAAAAAATACATTAAAGTGAGTTTCTGCTAAGGACTCCATGTCTTTTAAAAAAGTTGCTTTTTAAAAAAAAAATCCATTTTTTTTCCTAGGATACTGGGCAATCTTTATTATTCGTTCATAGTTGATACCTTTTCAGTCAAACAGTTGAACGGAGAGGCCAGAAATAGCTCAAGAACCAGGTCTCACTTTTATACTGCCAAGCTTATTTAAAAATATCATAAAAGGGTATTTTATGTATCAAAAATAGACCAAGTTTAGTTTTTTTTTTTTTTTTTTTTTTGACCATAGTCCGACAGTACAATGCATAGGTTGTGTTATCTTGCTGGCCATATACGAAATACAAACACATCAATATTAACAACTTGGAGAAGCGTGAAAAGGTGTTTCCTTCTCTCCTCATTGAAACAACAAGACAACCCAATTCTTAATAGTATTCTTGGGTGGATGTGTGACGGTACATCTGATCCACCTCTGTTGTTAGAAATGTATTGGATTGTTGGAGAAGTCATGATGCATTTCTGCATAGAAAAACCAAAAAATTACGTTATGTTCTTTTTGGAAATCTAATAGATTATGTTTTTTATTGCCAGAGGGTACGTATCCTTGTCAGAGAGAGAGAGAGAGAGAGAGAGAGAGAGAGAAAAGACCCTCTCTGTAGTGAGGTATGGCCATGCTGCAATCTCTTTCCTCCATTTCTCTAGCCCATCAGGATTTTGGGTGGGCATAAACACACACACACATGCACACACACACACTCACACGCACTCAATTTTGCAAGATACCAGGGCAAGATTACAAGATTTAAACCATGGTTGCCATGTGGGATCTGGCTTCTTCTGCACAGGGCTTAACTTTTGTGCTGTGGGGCTAGTATGTACATTATTTTTAATGTTTTTGTTTGTGCTGTTCAATAATGCTGGGATGAATGTGTTTATCTTAATTAAATTCTTAGATTTTTCCATAGAACGTGTTCCTACAATGGAGCTACTGAGCCTCATTGTGAGTTATTTGAGGGTCTCTGCTGCACACACTGTTGCTATAAAGACCACCAGTCTCTCCTCCAAGCTGTGTGAGGGTAGGCACTTCCTCCTGAGTGTGGACTGGTCTGTCACTGTGCCTAAAGGGAATTCTGGGGCATTATCCCAAGGCTCATAGAGGGAAACCACTTGGCCCCAACAGAAGGTGAATCCAATGTGGTGCCCACTTGCTTAGTGTCACTGCCAACACTTTCTTGGTACTGATGAGAAACTAGAAGAGATAAGCTCCCGGAGGAAGTGGATGATGCTCTGTGAGCTGGATTGACTTTCACCTACAAGTGAGGTGCAGAAAAAGGCTGCCTTGGTTGAATGGATCTGTTCTAAAGAAAACAAAAACAAAAACAAAAACAAGCATAGTCTAGTGGTTAAGGAAGCCAGATCCCATATGGCTGACCACAGCTCCAATCTGGCCTACAGCTTTAGAAACATGCTATGTGTATATGTGTGCATGCCAAAAATCCTGACGAGATGGAGAAATGGAGAAGGTATTGCAGTGTGACCACATCCCCTTGGGGGGTACTTTCTAAACCCCCCTGCCCCCACTACCCCTTATGTTTCTGTATCTTTCTGGCAAGCACCTGTGCCCTCTGGCCATTAAAAAAGAAAACAAAAAACAAAAACAAAACAACCAAGCATGTCTTGATTCCTGGGATAAATGACTACCGAATCAACTGGTTCTAGCTGCTAATTTTTCCCCCCATCCTAAACAGCAACAGCCTATGAATCTGTGTGGAAGTCCCACCATTACCTTGAACATAGAATGTCCTTAGCCAAGCTTTCACATGTCTCCCTCCTCGTCTGCTTTAACCCAGCACTACCATTGGGTTTGGTCTTGAAGGATGGAAATGTTACCTCATGGTGAAGCCTTTCCTTCTCTTTGTTCTGTCTCTATCTGCTCTTTTTTCCCTCCTCTCAGCCCTCAGTATAGACTCTGCTACCTTGGGGCCATAGCCTTCAGATTATGCTCTGTCTCTGCCTCACTACCTCATCCTTCTCAGACGACCTTGGCAGTTCTCAACTGTCCATGCCGTTTCCAGTAGAAATGCCTTGCCAACTCCTCTTGTTCAGCCCAATTCAAGCATCCATCGAATCTCTATCATAGCCTCAGGCCTCTCTTATGCTTCTCTGAAGACTCTCTCTCTCACCTCCCCTAGAGATCTTTCCTTTCTCTATTCTTTTTCTTTTTAATTTCCTTGTGATAAAATATGCATAATATTTACCCTTTTGACTATTGGAAGTGTATAGCTCAGTGGCAGTCAGTGTATTTACAATAATGTGCTACATCACTACTATCCATTGTTTGGTTTCCATAACCCCAAACAAAAATGTTACACCCATTAAACAATAAGTTCCTATTCTCCCATACCCCAGGCTCTGGTAACCTCTATTCTACTTTCCGTCTCTATGAATCTGCCTATTCTAAGTACCTCAGATAGGTACAGTTATACTGCATTTGTCCTTTTGTGTCTGGCTAATTTCAATGGACAATGTTTTTAAGAATTACCACGTTGTAGCATGTATCAGAATTTCATATCTTTTCAAGTTTGAGTAACATTCTCTTGTAAGGACATCCTGTATGTATGTATGTATGTGTATATGTATGTATGTGTATATGTATGTATGTGTGTATATATATATATATATACCCCGAGGGGGGATGGCCACACCGCAATCACTTCTCCTCCATTCTCCTCTCGGGATCTTGGCCACACATGCACATGTGCCTGGCATGAGTTTAAGCCGCCAGGACTCAAACTGCAGTTGACTACATGGGAGTCCAGCGACATAGCCATTATGCCATCTGCTGGCCCAGGACATCCTATATTTTGTTTATCCATTTATTTGTTGATTGTTTCCTGTTTTTGACTGTCATGAATAATGAACATGGGTGCACAGATATCTGTTCAAGTCCGTACTTTGGATTCTTCTCCAATTATTTGTGCACTCTCATTTCAGCTGTGCCATCAGCATGAGAAAAATTGCTGTTTTTTTTTTTTTTTGTCTTTTTTTTTTGTCTTACTGTGTGCATGCCCTTGTCTCATTCTTTCAAAAAATTTCTTCAAGTTGGCCTGAAGCCTGGTGGTTATGGGAGCTGGATCACTCATGACTGACTGCAATCTGAATCCCAGTCCTGGGGGCTTGAAAAACATGCTGGGCACATGTGTGTGCATGCCCTAAGTCACAACAGGATGGAGAAATTAATGAGAAGGGATTGTGGTCTGACTGTGCCCCATTGGGGGGTGCTTTCTCTCTGTCTCTCTGACACTGGCAAGTGCAAACACCTTCTGGCCATCAACATAAAATAAAATAAAGTTTCTCAACTACACTGGGAATCTCCTTACAGGAACAAACAATGTCTTCCACATCCTATGTATTTTTTTGCTCACATCTATCTCATTTAAGAATGGTTCCAAGGTATCTCATTGAATCTTGAGTAACAGGTGTAATGTCAGTAGTTGTCACTGAAATAATGTAAAAACTGTCTCATGAATATGATCACATCTGTAAAACCAACTCCAGTCAAAGACAGCCAATAAACACCAACCAGCTGTCATGTGCAGTGCCCCGAGTCACTTCTAAACCACTGAAGTGCCCCTTATTCCTGGCTCAGAACTATGGATTTATGAATTTTCCTCCACTGACTTTCAAGATGCCTTCTCACCTGCACCTCTGCATCTCTGTGTGGCTCTTGTGTGTTTTAGCATATCTGTGAGTCTGTCATAAGCCATTCAAATCATCCTTAGAAGCAAAGGGAGTAGATGTCAATCAATGTGCCACTACCCAAACAACTGCTAAGGAGTTGCATCTGCAGGGAGCAGGTGCTTCTTGATAATGCCCTAAACTTTACTTAGATTAAATTCGAATCAAGGGTTGCAAGGATTACTAAGCGATTAGTAAAAAGCATGCGTGGGGAAATTTCATGACGAAGGACTTCTGAGCTCCCTCCTGGTTCTCACTGCTCCAGGTCTGATGCTGAGCTATTCTGTCCCTCTGCCACAGACATCTGCTGCCTCCACTGGTTCTGGGCAGTGCGGGAAATGTTTGTTCTCTGCTTTGTTTTGTCTTTCTCTTTCCTCGGGCATAGGTCTCTTTCCCACGCCTAAAGAGAAGGGTGCTTAGGGCCAGCAGCCCTTAATCACACTGACCCTGGAAGTGGAGGTCGGTGCAGTCAGCATCCGCATGGCACTGCCCGTTGTCCTGTAGGCAGCGGTCAAGAGGCAGCTGCTCTGGCTCACAGTTCAGCCCGTCTCCCACGTAGTGACTCTTACATTCACAGGTGCGCTTGCCCTGTGGGAAGAGAACAAGAAAAGATGGCAGAGGCCAGCAGGTGACCTGGTGGATAAGGGCACTGGACTCCCACATGGCCGACCATGGTTCAAGTCCTGGACCTGGTGGCTTGCTTTTTCACTTTCCCTCTTTGTCTCTCACTCTGTCCCTCTTGGGTCAAATTAAAAAAAATAAGAAAATAAAAATAAAGTTAAATAAAATAGTTCTTAAAAAATATAAAAAGAGGGAACCAGCAGTTAGTGTAATGTCTATGTCACTGGACTCGCACGTAGTCGACCGCGGTTCGTGTCTCGGACCCGGTGGCTTAAAACTCACGCCGGGCGCGTGTGCGTGCGTGCCCAAGATCCCGAGAGGAGAATGGAGTAGAAGGGATTGCGGCGTGACCATCCCCCCTGGGGGGTGATTTCTCGCTTTCTGTCTCTATGTCTCTCTCTGTCTGTCTGGCGAGCGCACACGCCCTACAGTGAAAATCTCTCCAAAAAAAAAAAATGTTATATTAATCTTTATAAAAAGAAAAGAAAAGAAAATATGGCAAAGCACCTTCTCCAGGACCTGAGGACTTCTGAGTGCCCTGGGACCATTGCCCAGCACAGAGATGATCAGAAGGACAAGAGGATGTGCCTCCCCTGTGCAGAAGAAGGAAATAACTGCTACATCTTGCTTTTGTATGGGCTTGTGATGGAACAGCGCCCTCCTTTACATCTTAGCTTAAATGTCGATCCCTCAGAGAGACACTGTGTGATCGCCCCACGTAAAGGTGCTTTTCCAGTCCCTTCCATCATGTTGGCCTGATCCACATTCTTCACAGTGCTCAGTGGTTTCTAGGAGGATCTCATGCATTTGTTTCCATACTGAACACTGCCCACTCCATCTATTGTATTTGGGATCCAGAAAAGCAGGGAGCCTGTCTGTCTTTTTATTACTGTGTCCCTGATATGTGCAATTACACACAGTGGGTCCTCGGTGACCTCTGGTTGAATGAGTGAATGAGCTCATTTAATCCCCACAGCATGCCCACAATGCCTGCACTGTTATTTGGTCCACTTTATAAATGAGAGGACTGAAGCCCAGAGAGAGTAAGTAGTTTGCCTCAGGCTATACAGCTCATGAATCCAGGAGGCCAGATTCAAAGGCTGGCTCACGCTTGGTCCAGGTATGCAACCAGTAATGGACATCAGCACCCACCATCTGCTCTTCCCATGAGATAAACAGGGTACTAATTCCAGTCTGATGAGACTTGAGAGCCTAAATCTGCACTTTTCATACCACCTTTCACCAACATATTTAAAAGCTTCTTTCTCTCTCTCTCTTTCTTTTTCTCTTTTTTTCTTCCATGAGCAGGAGATACAGAGAGAAACAAAGGCATGAGAAAAAAGAGAGAGAGAGAGAGAGAGAGAGAGAGAGAGAGCATCCCCAACAGGATCTTGATGCCATGATCCACCCCCAGCCTCAGGCAGCCCCAGATCATGGCACGCATCTGCCCCGCATACACAGGGAGGTCTCCAGACTTTAACTGGGGCTCTTCCCATGTGGATTGTCTTGTGGATTGTCACCAAGCTGGCCTTGCCTACTGACCTTTTTTTTTTTTTTTGGGAGGTTTTTGCTATAAAATATGTGTGCTTACCAGTGATGCAGAGAGAGACAGAGACACAGAAAGCGAGAAATCACTCCCCAGAGGGGGCTGGCCACACTGCCAGCCCTTCTCCTCCATTCTCATCTTGGGATTTTGAGCACTCACATATAGGTGCCCTGCATGAGGTTTAAGCCACTGGGTTTGGGACTCAAACTGTGGTTGAGTGCATGGGAGTCCAGTGATGTAACCGTTATGCCATCTGCTGGTCCTGCCCATTGACAACAAGAAACAGTGAAGTGGGAAGGATGTTTAGGAAGAGGCCAAATGGCCACAGAGCCCAGGTGGAGCAGCAAGACTGAGAGAGCCCCCGGAGCTGCTCCCAGGCTTCCCTGGTGCAGAGCGACTCACCGGGCCCGTCATCCGGCAGGTGGCATGTTCGTGGCACCCCCCATTGAGGCCATCGGCACAAAGGTCTATCTCTGTGCAGCTGTAGCCGTCTCCCTTGTATCCCTTCTGGCAGCTGCAGGAGACTTTCGTGTCTTTCTGGGAGCACTTGGCGACCTTCGCACAGCCCCCGTTGTTCTGTTTGCAGAAATCCACAACTGCAGGAGCAGGAAAGAGGGGCTCAGGTTACTGCCACCGATGTAGATGGGGCATGGACCGCCCTGTGCTAACCTTTGCAACATGAATATCCCATGACACTTTTAGAGACAAAATCTGCTGACACCTGTTCACCTCTACCCCTCTTTTCATATACCTCTGGGCTCCGTTTTGGCAGTAGTTTTCGGAATGAATTTGCATTTTTGATGTTAGGGTGGGTTATGTGCACGTGTGTGTAGAGATAGCACAATATTGAGCCCCTTGTGATAGAGACATTGCTACCTCCATTCTACAGATGAGCAAACTGAGGCTGACAGAGCTTAACTGGTAAAACAGCTAGAATGTGGCAGGGTTGAGGTTTAAACCCAGGGTGGTTTGCCTCTTCCCGCTTGTGCTGCCTCTTAGGACCTCTGTTTTCAGTCTTCCAATTTTCAACCTGAAAATAGATAAGCTGGAACAGAGTCACTAAAAAGCTGTCCCCAAGTCTCTTGCCTGCATTTCTGCACAGAGTCATGACAACCACCTGAGGTTATGAGAGAATAAACAGGAGGACAAAAAGCCTGAGCCTAAGAATGGCAGGATGAGAGAACCTGGGTCTTCATGGCTATCACAGAGTGCTGACCCACTTCTGGGCTGCCGGTTACAAAACAGCAGGTGTAGTGAGATCTAATTTCTGTACAGATTTGAAGTCCCAGTCTCCTTCATGGCTTTCATCATCACAGAGGGTATGCGACCACCTGTGCCGCTGCGGGTGGACTTAGCTTGTGTTCTTAAAGAAAAGAAGGCTTGCTTCCTGCTGCGGTTTCAATGTGTCCCCTAAAATGTATGTGTTGAAATTTGATTGCTGTTGTGATGGTATTAAGAAATGGAAATTTAATATGATTAGGGAGGGCATTAACAAGTAGGGTCTTCGGGAGGTAATTAGGATTAGATAAGGTCATCAGGTTGGCCCCCATGATTGGATCCGGGTGGGATTCTAAGCAGGGGACAGATTAGAGCTGTGTGGTGCCCTACACCACCTTGGCACTCTGCAGAGTCCTCGCCACCAAGAAGGCCCTTGCCAGATGTGGTCCCTCAACCTTGGGCCTCCAGAACTCTGAACAGAATACAATTTTCTTCTTTATAAATTACCCTGTCTTGGGTATTCAGTTATTAAGTGAAAGAAAAAAGCACCCAAAAGCCCCCTTCTCCCTTTCCCATCCTGGTGCCTGGGATCTGCTCATGGCAGTGGCCATCTCGGGACAGGCAGGTGAGCGACAGCAGAGCAGCAGACAGGAGAAGTCTGGGTGCCCACATGACGGAGACGCTGTGTGAGTCCAGGACATCTCCCTCCAAACTGTTCAATGAGACGGAAACAAACATCTGCCTTGCTTATGCCGCTGTTCACTGGGGTCTCTGCAAGGCTAACCACTAGGATAGACATTGCCATGTCTATCGCAGTTCTTGCCAAGTGGTAAGTGTAAGTGTAAATTTATTTATTTATTTTTTTTACAATAGTGTAGTATATTTTCTGAATTTTTGGAATAAGACTGGATTACTTGGAGGGTCAGAGAAACACTATAAAATGAAGTGCATCCCAGTTTGCAGAGCAGTCAAAAATGTAAGCCTTTGACCTGGGAGGCAGATCAAGCACAAACACACATATTAAGGGGACAGAGTCACAGACCCTGCAGGTGTTGTTGAAGTGGCCCAGGCAGGAAGCAGGCAAGCCAGAAGTGAGCCTGGGCTCTGAGACCAAGTGCTGTGCCTCTCCCTGGCCTGCTGCCATTCCCCACATGCACAGAGGGGACTCACCTGTGCAGGTTATTCCATCGCCTTCATAATTCAGGTTACACTCACACGTGTTGTTGTCCTTACAGGTGGCGTGAGCAGAACAAGGAGGAATGCACACGGGGGGCACAACTGCAAAGAAAGGGGCCATGGTTCATCCCGCCCTCATGGTGTAAAGAGTGTCCCTCCCGGGAGATTTCCTAAGACTTTTTCTCTGGCCTACCACTATGCTTGGTAAGTACCCCTTTCAGCAGAGGAGTGAGGTCATTTGCTAAGGTATCTCCCAGCCTGGACAGTCTAAGACTCTAGCATTATTTATTTATATTAAGATATCGTTTCTGCAAAGTTATTCAGGTTAAAATGCAAATATATTAACTTTAGGGGCAACCAATTTAAAATATTTTTTTAGTTTGCTATGGGGAGGAGTGTGTGCTTGCCAGAGAGACAGAGAAAGAGAGAAAGGAAGAGGAGAAAAAGGGAGAGAAAGTGGGAAATCAACTCTCAGGGGGATGGCCATGGTGCAATCCCTTTTCCATTCTCCTTTCTGGATTTTAGGCACACGTGTGCAGATGCTCATGATGAATTTCAAGCTCAAGGTCCAGGACTAGAACTGCACAGTTGGCCATGTTGGATCCAGCTTCCTTAACCAAACTGCCACCTGCTAGCCCACAACCAATTAAAATTTTTATACCTCAAAAATTCATTAAGAGAGATGAATTTGGCAGATCAGCTTTCTAAGGACATGAGGTTCCAGATAGACATGAGTACTTTGGAGACGTTACATGGCTTTTTTTTTTTTGGAGAGGTTTTTGCTATAGGGCACATGCGCTCACCAGAAAGACAGAGACAGAGAGACAGAAAGTGAGAAATCACTCCCCAGTGGGGTTAGGGTTACAACTGTGGTGGGCCATGTGGGATCTAGCTTCCTTAACCACTAGGCTATAGGACCAGCCTTGAGTTATGTCTTTTCATCTAGTCTTCTTACAAGTCATTAGTCTCCTTAGGCCCAGGGCTACAGAACCAAATCATCTTTTCCAAATGGAAATAGGAACACTTGTGTTTGTTGTCATTTTTCTTCAGGTGTCCCTCAGCCCCCCAACCCCACATGGATGTTCACTCTTGGTAGCTGGCCCCTCCCATGATAGACCTGTTTGAGTGTCACAGGAGCGGCCGGTCCACCCCGTTTCACAGAAGCACTGCCCGGAGCCTGTGATTCCATCATCACACTGTCCATGATCCGAGCAGCCACAGGCTGTAAAGCGAATTAGAGTGTGATCAGTAATCAGCAATCAGGGATTAAAATCCTCTCAACCGGCCCACTGACCATCCATTGGCTGCGCGTTTTCAGTGTAGGAGACACTGTGCTTATGCCTTTGTCACCCATTTGTTCATTCATACACTAATTCATTCAAAAAGTCACTCTATGGCTACCAGGGATGCAGGCATAATAGGGAAGGTCTCTATCCTCTTAGGGTTTACAATCTAGGGGTCACCCACTGTTGAACATGTCTTCATAAATGTGAGGTTATAATCACAGAAGTAGATAGAATGTGTTACAGGGCGTGCGATAGGATAGATGGGGTGAGAACCCCCTCTGGAGACTCCTGGTGGAGAAATCTAAGTGGAAGTAAATTTTAAAAAATATGTACCAGTTCTGTCATGTCTCACCACCTCCAGCACTGCCATGCTAGTCCAAGATCCCAATAGCTCTTACCTAGACTGTCACCTCGGTCTCCCCACAGAGGCACAGCTTCTGTGCCTGCTTTCCTACAGGACAGCCTGCACTGGCAGCTGGAGTGACCTACCATTCCCAGCATATTCCTCTCTTTACAACCACCCGCCAGCTGCACATCACACTGGAGAGAGCTGCTGAAGACCTTTCCCTGGCTGAGAAGCTCCTGTGAACTGGCCCCCAGTAACATCAGATTCCATTTCTTTCTTGTCTTCTTCTTTCTTCACTCTGCTGGCCTCCTTGCTGTTCTTTGCATGGCAAGCCAGCTTCAGCCTCAGGGCCGTCGCACCTGCTCCCCTCTCCTCCAGGAAACGCAGTCCTCTAGGCCAGGAGAACTATTCCTCTGGTCTGCACTGTCCAGGACTGTCACCGCTAGTTACATGTAAACTTAGCTATTATTGTTCTTGCAAGTTCTTTGAGAGCTGGGACTTTGTCTCCTGCTCTCTTGCCCACTGCTCCTTAAACCACGGTATCCGTAGACCTTAGAACAATTCATGGCTCCTGAGCAAATTGCCTTTTCTTTTTGTTAATCTGCTAATTGGAGATAATAATAGTATCTACTTTAAAGAGTTGTTTTGAGGATTAAATGGCAAGATATACCTATGCTTGGCACTTAGTAAGCACTTAATACATGGCAGCGATCCATATGGGAGGACTCAGTACACAGACGTGGTTGACTGTGGAATGAATGAATGTCGTTCAGCCACAGCTTGCCTGGGTGGCTGCAGGGGCTGAGTTTCATGTTTACAGGCAAGGCTCTTTCAGTGGATGGAAGCTGGCATTACATCCAAGGAGGAAACAGGCATGTAGGGTGGGCAGATGGGAGATAGGTGGCCGGGAGAAAGGGGGAAAAGCATGCTTCCAGGCCAGCTGAATGGCAAGGATCAGGACAGGAAGCACGGGCTAAGAAACTGGTGGCAGCACAGGAAAGCCGTGTCACTTACGCTGACAGTCGGGTCCGAATCTCCCTGGCAAGCACAGCTCACATGCCGTCCCATTGAAACCAGCGTTGCATTTGCACTCTCCTGTAGCCAAGTAGTGGTCAAGGCAGACACCCCGGTTATTGCACGGAGTATCTGGTCCTCCGGGGCAGGCTGGAAGAGATGAAACTGCATGACTCTGGGTCTCCTGGACGCAGAACGGCTCAGTAACTACATTTGCAAGTGTGCTGTGGATCTGATACCCAGAAGCCCAGAGGAATTGTGGTCCTGGGTATCAGTGGATATTTAGGACAAGCCATGGCCTATGGACATGAGCTTCAATCCATCTGATGTGATTCTACCTTGGCAGGCAATACACTGACCTGTGCACTGCACCAGGGGTCAGGAGCTCTGGATTTGAGTAGACCTGGGCTGAGCAATGGACTTCTCTGAGCTTTAGTTTTCTTAGGTTTAAAGGACGGTGATGAGGAGGAGGACAATGACATAGTGCCAGCATGGTTGACTTATACTACATGGTTACCATGACAATCTGGTGAAATACTATAACAGAGAGTCTTTCGGAAATGTAGCGTGCTGAACCAATCTAAGGGACAACACATTTTATGATGGATGGTGAGGGCTGGGGGACTGCATGAACTCTCACCTGAGAACGTTGTCGACTAGGTTACAATGAATGGAATGTGCATGGTAGCAAAAACCATGGCTTCTGGAGACAGATTGGGACCTTTGGCTTGTATCTTACCCTTTCTGTGCCTCTATTAACTCATCTGTTAAGTGGAGACAACAATGGAATCTACTCCCCAGGGGTCATTGCCAGGATTAAATGCATTAAAATCTGTGGGAACAGCAAGCGGTCATGTGCCTGCTTAGAAGAACATGTGGCAGAGGGGAGGTGCCATATGGGCATCTGACCTGTTGCTATGCTGATATAGTACTGGCTACAGCTGGTCCAACATGGGAGTTTCAGGAATTCCCGGATGCCTTTGAGAAAGAGCTCTTTCCTGGCAAGGTAACAAAGACAATGCCATATATCCCGTAACAGGATGTTCAGGAATTTATAGCCCACACATACTGTATCAGTAAGTCTCCCTGCAAGATCGACCCATATTGAATGCACTTGGACATGCTTAGCAGTACTATGGATACAATAGGGCATCCAAAATGAAACATCATGTTTTTAGTCCGAAGAGGAACGCCTTGGGATGTTAAGCAAAAAAGCGGACATCAAATTAGAATATGTGCATAGTGTATCTCATCTTGGTAAAGAACAAAACAGGCCCAGTGAAAAAGTAGAAGGAGGAATACACAACTCTTCAGAGGGAGTGTGCTGGGGTCTGGGAGGTACTAGCAGGGGTGTTTGGCCGTCTCTATAATTCTAGTACTTTCAAATGCTGTGCAGAGTGCGTCGGGTCCTTTCAGATTCACGAGCAGGAAGCGGCGCCCTCACCTTGACAGTCTGGGCCAAAGTAGCCCTTGCAGCACCTGGGGACTTGTATCACTAGGTTGCATAGTTGCCGGCAGCCCTCCATGTTCCTCCTGAAGGACGACAGGTTGTAGCGACACTTCTGCTTCTCACCCTAGGGGAAGAGTGGACATCCTCTCTCCACCACCCACCAGGGCTTTGGGTCTCTAGTCCGCCCCCCAGTGGAAAACCCCAGGTACTGCCCAGGTCAAGATGGGTCCTTCAATTGGTGTGACCTTTTTTACCCCCAAGGCAATTCTTTTCAGGGGACTCAGTAGGCCAATGACAGAAGCACATAAATGGGGCAGGTGACAGAGCTAGAGTCCGCATGAACAATTTTCTCTAGTCTTAAAAGGAAGAGCTTTCAGCCCTGCAGAGCTGTTTGGGAATGTCATGGTTGCCTGGGGAGGAAATGGAGGAGAGGTAGCTTCGTATCCTGGAAGAGGGGTGGAACAAGGTCCCCAAATCATCAACACAGGAAGTATGAAATACAGGTAAATGTAATCACATGTTAAAGTTTGCTTTTCTTGATAACTATATACAGAACTGTTTTTAGAAGCAGAACTGACAGATCATGTGACTTGCCAAATTTCACTTCATATTTGTGGATTCCAAATTTCACTGGCTTAAACATTACTGTATATTGCTTTCTGGGCTTTAATTCCAGTTTTGCTCCTTACTAGCTGTGTGCCCTGGGCTAATTGCTTACCCTCTCTGAGGCTCATTTTCTCATAAGTAAAGTGGAGGTAATAAGCTTCCTGACAGTGTTTTAAGGAGGCAGAATAATGGCTATGTAAAGGACCCAGGAGATAGCCTAGAATATAGACAGCAACCGACAAAGTATAGCTATTTTTTTGATAACTCAAGTTCCTCCTGGAGCAAAATTCCACGACTTTTCTAGATAGTTTCTAGGTGATGGGCAGTAGGTTGATAGGTTGCTTGGTCTGAGAATGTCCATCTCACCTCAGTGGCTTTGTTCATGAAAGAATCACATAAAGTATGCATATACAATTCACCCACAGACACACCCACCCATCCACACACGCATGCACACACCGCCCCCCACCCACACTGACATGTCAGAAGATTGAGGTCTGAGAGTGAAACACACCATGGTTCTCCAAATGGAATCACTGCGTTTATAATTACCTTTGGTTTACTCCACTTGGGGCAGCTGGGGGTGTAGAAGCAGCTCCCACAATCCCCCTAGTATGCAAGAAAAGAGATTTTTAAAAATCGAGAGTACTGAAGAGCACAAAGAAGTGTCCTTGGTAAATATCTACCTGGGCTGATTAAGAATGTAGTCTTGATCAAGATCCTGGCTATGATCAAAAATATAAAAACAAATCACTTTGCCATGGAGAATTCTGAAGGTCTGTCTGGGAACACTATTCTTTGGTTCAGGTTTTTGAAAGGAAAAGACTCAGTCATATGGCACTGGGCCAGGCAGTGTCAGAAAGGAATATGGTAGCACCCGGGAGAACCGTGGCTGGACTGTCAGTTCTGTTTTAAGGTAGCTCTGATACTTTTGGTCAGTCACTTACAGTCATTGGTCTTAACGTTTTTTTTGTTGTTGTTGTTGGTGTTTGTTTTTTTTTGCCATAGGGCGCATGCACTAGCTGGACAGAGAAAGAAAGTGAGAAACATCCCCTCCCCCCTGGGGATAGTCACACCGCTATCCCTTCTTCTCTATTCTTCTCTCCTATTTACCCTTTTAGTAAAATGGACTATTGGTTTTATCTCCTACTTTGGCTAACGAAGGATTTTGGGCATATGCACACGAGCCTGGCGTGATTTTCAAGCTGCCAGATCCAGGACTCGAACCACAATTGGTCATGGGGGAATCCAGTGCCTTAACCATCATGCCATCTGTTGGACCTGATCCTTAGTTTTATCATCCATAAATAGAGGTGCTGTAAAATCTTGCTGCTATTTGATTTCCAGGGGAGAAAGGTCACGAGGAAAAATGACTAAGTGAAGGGGCCAGCAGGCATGGTAAAGGAACTGGACTCCCACATGGAAGACTGCGGTTTGAGTCCCAGACTAGATGCTTGAAAATCTCACTGGGCATGTGTGTGTGCATGCCCAAAATCCCAGGAAGAAAATGGAGGAGGAGGAATTGTGGTGGCCATCCCTCCTGGGGGGTGATTTCTCACTTTTCCTCTCACTGTCTCCTGTGAGCACACGCATTCTATAGGAGGAAAAAAAAAAAAAAGACTAACTGAAAAACTGTGTGAATATACTTTGTAAATTAAGAAGGTCATAACCTCGTTAGTAAAATGGACAATTGGTTTTATCTCCTACTTTGGCTAACTGGTATCCTAAAAGTGTGCAATATTTATTAAATGTCTATGAGATGCCAGGTACTGATATCAACTGGTGACAAACTTCACCATGTAAAGTCACTTCACTTCTTTGAGACTCAATTTCCAAATCTATATAATAGAGTTGAAGAGAACTACTTCCATGATTGGGTTATTGTGGGGGGCGAGATGAGCATTGAGCAAATTGGCCAGCTCTATAAGTGGTACTGGGTGGGTGAATGAGTGTGAACTGTGAAAACACCTAGCGAAGTGTAGGATCCAGGATAAAAGTTCAGTCAATGTCAGATAAATGAATGGGTAAATAACAGGTGTGGATGGCATATAAAATTAGTCTGACCACATGAAATTGCCTATTCTCATAGGCTCCAAACTGCCATGTATGGCAAGTTCATATGGTTTATTCCGGTAAAAGCTCAACAAATGTTTGTTGAATGAGTGAGTGAATGACCAAATAGATGGAGGCATTTAAATGAATGGCTGAATAACTGGCATACGGTTGGTATACAAGAACTGTTAGCCTCAGTGATAAGGAAATGAATGAAAGGGTGGGTGGGAGGATAAACAAGAATATTCCAGAAGGCCATGGAGAGCTAAGTAGATAGATGCTTGTTGATTCTGAATCTGAAGAGCTCCATTATTTGACCCTCAGATCTCTTGGGTCCCAGTCTTGCAGAGGACTAGCTCTGAGTAACGTCACAAGAGCCCATGTTGGATCATGAGGGCTGTTCTTTGGTCCAAGGTATTCTTACTCCACTGTTATTTTTAGGACTAACCGAGACATCGAAAGTAGTAAATGTGTCACAGTGGCCCCCCAGGGTGGGATCAATCAGCAGACAGTTGATGCCGTAGGCCACGCCCAGGTCAAACAAGAGCCCCCTCTGCACAATTCTGCATGTTTGCCCATTGAGAAAGAGTTCGCCCTGAGAGAAAGAGAAGGAACAACAAACAATGACTCTCTCAGATTTCCCCCTTTCCAGGCCATATATGAGGCCAGCACCTGCAGGACTCAAGAAGAATTGACAAAACAAAGACAAAAACAAAACCAAACCAACATCCATACACAAGGGATTTTCAAAAAGTTAATGGATAATGCTATTATGAAAAAACTATGCATAGACTTACATTTTTTTTTGGTTATAATAATCTCATACTTCAATGCCATTTTCCACAAACTTTTTGCAATAGCTATCTATGTATCTCAAACACTTGGCATGTATACTGTTATAAATGCTTTACTTGTGCAAATGATCTTAATCTTTCCAAAAATTCTAGGATGCAGCTACTTTTACTAGTACCCATTTACAGATGAGGAAACAGGCCATATGAGGTCACATAACCTGCCCAAGGGCACACAGCCAGTGAGTGGTGTACAGGTGTTCACACCCAGGTAGTCAGCCTTGGAGGCTGCCTTCTTGGCCTGCTGTGACACAGCTTCTACCACAGTAGGCCCAGTGGCAGCAGGCTGACAGGTAGGGCAGGCAGAGCCTTGTGCTGGCATAGGAGAAACTGTTGATGTGGCTCCTTTATGTGCAATAATTGAATTTTCTTATTCACCTAGCAGAGTGCCTGGTTCAACTTTCCTTTCAGGATATGCAAGTGATAGACTAATTTTATGATAATTATAACCCATTTTTCACACATACCAAGCCTTATCTGAATGGGCTTTAGAGACGTGATTTCATTTAATGCTTGCAACAATGGTAGAGTTTCTTCCTCATAGTCATTCCATTGAAAGTGGCTGGATATATTCTTTTGCCAAGATGTAAAAATACTTACAGAAAATTCATGAGAAGAAAAAAGGTACGTCTCAGCATCTATTGATGGGACGGTGACAGTATGATTCAGTGGAAAGAACTCCAGAAAATCATCTTCGAAGCCTTGCATGTCCACATATATAATGTGTGGCCATGGGCAAGTCATTGAACTCTGAGGTTCAATTGTTTTCACCAGGTAAAAAGAGTGAATGCACAGGGTTCTGATGCACATCAAATAAAAAATATAAAGTGCTCTGAAAGCTATATTAGCACACAAGGTAACCAGTGGGCATTCTTACTATCCTTCTCTGTGATAGTTGTCCAATTTGGTCTATGGTGATAGTATAGCTGATTTTCGAGTATAAGTCCATGGATGATCTTCCAGAAGCTGAATCTTCAGATTCACTTATAGTTTTGGGGCTGGCTTCATGGTGTAGCAGGAACGTACGAGAAAAGCCAGATCCCACAGAGCAACGACAGTTGGAATGCCTAGCCTAGTCAGCCTGAAATATGTCAGGCATGCCCAAGGCCTGATGGGCTGGGAGACTGGAGGAAGGGGACTGTGGCATGACCAGACCCTGCGCAGGGTGTTCTTTCTCTCTTCTGTGCATGGGTAGAGGCTTTATCATGAATAAAGAAAAAAAATACATTTGATGTAATTCTAATTAAAATACCAAAGGGATTCTGGTCATAAACAGTATGTTGTATGAAATTGTTGCAGAGCAGAGAGAGGAAGTCTCCTTTGAGCTGACAGACTAACTGGATTGGCTACCTCTAAATCCTTATACATGTCAGCTACTGTCATTTTTCACTGCAGTTGAACTAATTCCTTCAGGCCCATTCATCATACCTAATTAGACAAAGGTAGAACTATTCAAGAACTAGCCAGGGAAGGTGACAATTGCTATCCTTCTCTCTGTTGGCTGATCTATAGCCCAGTGCTGGCTCTGATGGCCAAAAAAGGGCTGGAGGGGAGCCACAGTAGGACTGAGGAAGAAGGGAAAGGTATGCAGTGTACTTTCCTGCTTCGGGGAGTCTCTCACACAGGAAAAGAAATGCTCAACAAAAACAAACTGGCAGCTGCCCTTCACAAGTACAAGGCACTTCCTGACACCTGCTATGAGGACTTAGGCTGGCCAGGATTTATCAGATTTTTCATATCTGCTATGTGCTCTCAGGGAAAACACCTCTGAAGGCAGTGGGAGAAAATGAGCTTGCTGTCAGTGGAGGGGGAACAAACACACATCCTGAAGGGGCAGTGGTTGGGAATGGCTTGCTGTGAATATGTTTCTCCTCCCTGCTCCTTCCCCTTTGAGATGATACTCACGATGTCACTGCCAGCTCCACATTTCACACTCAGCTCTGAACCTTGCAGGGTCTTCCAGGCAGCAGATCTGGGGAGATCCACAGCTAGAACCTACAGGAGGGATGGTGCCACATTAACACCCCACATATGGGCTGAAGAAGGACCTGAGGGAGCTTTGTCAACCAACCAAATTCAGATGCAAGTTTTTCCATGAGTTCTAACAATTTCATCTTTAAAATGAAGGCAGAACAATAATGGGATCTTTAGGAGGTTGGGAATTCCTTTGGAAGGGAATGTCTCAGCAGCTGGACTGCTTTTTTTTTTTTAGAGGTTTTCGCTATAGGGCATGTGCGCTCGCCAGACAGACAGAGAGACGTAGAGACAGAAAGCAAGAAATCACCCCCCAGGGGGGATGGTCACGCCGCAATCCCTTCTCCTCCATTCTCCTCTCGGAATCTTGGGCACGCATGCACACGCGCCAGGCGTGAGTTTCAAGCCACCGGGTCCGGGATGCGAACCGCAGTCGACTACGTGGGAGTCCAGCGACACAGCCATTACTTTAACTGCTGGTTCCCTGGCTTACCACTTTTTTAATCCTTTAATTTTCAACCTGTGACTGTGCTTAAAACTCACTTCATGTAAACATACACGGCCATGTAAATAGCACGTACTGCCACGTAAACAGCACAGACATTCATGTGTTCCTTCATGATGGGGATATATTCTGAAAAATTTGTTGTTAGGCAATTTTGTCATTATTCAAACACTGCAAAGTGCACTTACACAGAGCAAGAATGGTACGGCCCACATACTTACTACAGGACGATGGCTGTATACATGGTTCATCCTTGACTAACATGTCTTTATGAAGCATATGACTGTAATTGGATCTTGATTTTTGCATTTCTTTTTCTACCCAACTCAATTCATTTTCATTATTAACATTGGGCAGTCTGAAAAATCATGCCGTGTTTTTCTAGGCAAAAATGTGTCATGACTTTCCCAACAACCTAATATCTGGGTCTTAGTCTATGATATATCTATTTTCCCATTCTTTTCTTTGTTCTTTTAACTCTCTTTTCTGTGTTTTTCAGGCACGTACATCATTTTTGGGATTATATCATCTTCTCTTAGCTTTAGAGCTGTGTGTGTGTATTTGTGTACATGTGCATTTCCCCTTCCTCAGCTTGATGGCGTGCGGCTGCTTTTACTGGCTACATTTACCCCAGAGGTACTCAGAAATATGGGTACTCAGGGATAATGTGTGAGAGAATGACATTGCCATTTTTAACATGGGATATTTTAAGACATGTTATGACTTGACTTGGAGTTGGCAACATCACCTTTTCCCATATTCCACTGCCAGAGCCACAGGTTCCAGTGAAACTAAGCAAGCAGTCTAAAAAAGGCTAAGTGAACTAAATGAAGGTAAGATGGGATAAAAAGAGGAAAATTATCCCAGGTAAAGAAATCAACATGAGCAATGAACAGGAGAGAGCGCTGTGGTACAGTGGCGGTAACTATGTTGAGTTGATAGGGTGTAGCCACATTGGAAGGGTCTTGAAATTGAATCAGAAACAGTGGGACTTGGCTGTGGCTTTGGAAACATGGTAACATAGAGTTCACAGGTATCCATGTCCTTGCCTATGACAGCGGTATCTGTGTGCCCTGTCAAGTGTGCCTGGCCTTGACATGCCTGCCAGGAGGTGGACTACATGTCTCTACACTGCTCTAGGTTTGGGTCAAGTGATTTCTTTGGCTGATGTAACGTGACCAATCATGACAGATGCCTCCCCCACACAGAGGCTTAAATTTCATTGTATGGCTATGTTCGGCTCCTCCAGGCTCTAACTTCCCTCACAGTAAATCACACTTCTGGTATGCCTACTTCTTTATCCGCCAAGATGTAAAAATACTTACAGAAAATTCATGAGAAGAAAAAAGGTACGTCTCAGCATCTATTGATGGGACGGTGACAGTATGATTCAGTGGAAAGAACTCCAGAAAATCATCTTCGAAGCCTTGCATGTCCACATATATAATGTGTGGCCATGGGCAAGTCATTGAACTCTGAGGTTCAATTGTTTTCACCAGGTAAAAAGAGTGAATACACAGGGTTCTGATGCACATCAAATAAAAAATATAAAGTGCTCTGAAAGCTATATTAGCACACAAGGTAACCAGTGGGCATTCTTACTATCCTTCTCTGTGATAGTTGTCCAATTTGGTCTATGGTGATAGTATAGCTGATTTTCGAGTATAAGTCCATGGATGATCTTCCAGAAGCTGAATCTTCAGATTCACTTATAGTTTTGGGGCTGGCTTCATGGTGTAGCAGGAACGTACGAGAAAAGCCAGATCCCACAGAGCAACGACAGTTGGAATGCCTAGCCTAGTCAGCCTGAAATATGTCAGGCATGCCCAAGGCCTGATGGGCTGGGAGACTGGAGGAAGGGGACTGTGGCATGACCAGACCCTGCGCAGGGTGTTCTTTCTCTCTTCTGTGCATGGGTAGAGGCTTTATCATGAATAAAGAAAAAAAATACATTTGATGTAATTCTAATTAAAATACCAAAGGGATTCTGGTCATAAACAGTATGTTGTATGAAATTGTTGCAGAGCAGAGAGAGGAGGTCTCCTTTGAGCTGTCAGACTAACTGGATTGGCTTCCTCTAAATCCTTATACATGTCAGCTACTGTCATTTTTCACTGCAGTTGAACTAATTCCTTCAGGCCCATTCATCATACCTAATTAGACAAAGGTAGAACTATTCAAGAACTAGCCAGGGAAGGTGACAATTGCTATCCTTCTCTCTGTTGGCTGATCTATAGCCCAGTGCTGGCTCTGATGGCCAAAAAAGGGCTGGAGGGGAGCCACAGTAGGACTGAGGAAGAAGGGAAAGGTATGCAGTGTACTTTCCTGCTTCGGGGAGCCTCGCATACAGGAAAAGAAATGTTCAACAAAAACAAACTGGCAGCTGCCCTTCACTCTCTCACACAGGAAAAGAAATGCTCAACAAAAACAAACTGGCAGCTGCCCTTCACAAGTACAAGGCACTTCCTGACACCTGCTATGAGGACTTAGGCTGGCCAGGATTTATCAGATTTTTCATATCTGCTATGTGCTCTCAGGGAAAACACCTCTGAAGGCAGTGGGAGAAAATGAGCTTGCTGTCAGTGGAGGGGGAACAAACACACATCCTGAAGGGGCAGTGGTTGGGAATGGCTTGCTGTGAATATGTTTCTCCTCCCTGCTCCTTCCCCTTTGAGATGATACTCACGATGTCACTGCCAGCTCCACATTTCACACTCAGCTCTGAACCTTGCAGGGTCTTCCAGGCAGCAGATCTGGGGAGATCCACAGCTAGAACCTACAGGAGGGATGGTGCCACATTAACACCCCACATATGGGCTGAAGAAGGACCTGAGGGAGCTTTGTCAACCAACCAAATTCAGATGCAAGTTTTTCCATGAGTTCTAACAATTTCATCTTTAAAATGAAGGCAGAACAATAATGGGATCTTTAGGAGGTTGGGAATTCCTTTGGAAGGGAATGTCTCAGCAGCTGGACTGCTTTTTTTTTTTTAGAGGTTTTCGCTATAGGGCATGTGCGCTCGCCAGACAGACAGAGAGACGTAGAGACAGAAAGCAAGAAATCACCCCCCAGGGGGGATGGTCACGCCGCAATCCCTTCTCCTCCATTCTCCTCTCGGAATCTTGGGCACGCATGCACACGCGCCAGGCGTGAGTTTCAAGCCACCGGGTCCGGGATGCGAACCGCGGTCGACTACGTGGGAGTCCAGCAACATAGCCATTACGCTAACTGCTGGTTCCCAGCAGCTGGACTGCTTTTAATCACCCTCTATCCTCTATCTTTTCCTGGGAGCCCATGGAAGATGGTGTCGTGGTGCATGAAATCAAAGGAAGGATGAGTAGGCTAGTCAGGGAACTGATCTAGGGTGCTTTTATGGGTTAAACTTGCCCCTCAAAAAGTTATGTTGAAGTCCTGATCCCTAGTACCTCAGAATATAACCTTATTTGGAAAAAAGTCATTGGAATATATTTAGTTAGAATGTGGCAATTCTAGTCCTGATGGCTTAAAACAAACCCAGACAGGAGCCAGTAGGTAGCATGGTGTTAAGGTGCTGGACTCCCAAATAGTTGAGTAGCTTGAGTGCCAGTAGCTTGAAACTCATGCTGGGCGTGTGTAGATGCATGCCCACAATTTTTAGAGGAGAAAGGAGGGGAAGGGATTGCAGTGTGGCCATTTCTCCAGGGGATGATTTCTCACTTTCCCTCTCTCTGTCTCTCTCCAGCAAGCACATGTGCCCTGTGGCAAAAACCTAAAAAAAAAAAATCCAGGCAAGATGGAAAAATAGAGAAGGGATTGTGGTGTGACCGTGCCCTGTTGGGTGGTGTTTTCTCCCTCTCCTCTCTGTCTCTGTCTGGTGAGTGTACACACACTGGCAAATAAGAAAAAAGAAAGAAAGAAAAAGAAAGGAAAGGAAAATGCCACATGAAGATGCAGTCACACACAGGGAGGGAGCAGTCCTGTTGTGATGGAGGCAGGGATTGGAGGGATGCATGTATAAGCCAAGGAGTAAACATCAAGGATTTCCAGTGACCACCAGAAGTTAGGAGAGCAGCACAGAACAGATTCTCCCTCTGAACTTTCGGAAAGAACAACCTTGCTGGCACCTTGCTTTCAGACATCTCATCTCCTCCAGAACCGTTCACCACAGAGAGTAAATTTCTGTTACTTAAGATGCAGTCTGTGGTAATTTGCCATAGCTGCCCTAGGAAACTAATCCAGGTGCTATGAATGAGCTGAGGTTATGGCATTGGGCATCCTGGGTCCAGGTAAACTCAGTGATGGAGAAAAACACGTCTTGGTTGAGAACTCAGAGTGACTGCCTTGTTCCTACATGGTCTTGCTTCTCTGATATAGTGAGTTGGCACAGGGCCCTACAACTGATTACATCAAGATTTTCTAGTCATTTCCTTAGAAATTTTGGAATTGGGAGAGAAAGAGTCTCTCTGGAAAAACTGGAAGCTTTTGTGAGCAGCCATTTTGGAGATGAATGAAGAAAGAGAAAATCTGATACATAAAGAGAGGAATGAAGCTCTTGGGTATAGGCAAGCAAAAAAGGGCAGGTCCAAGAAAGAGAGACAGATAGAAGCATGTACTGCAGGGGTGAACCACCCATGGCGAGACAGAGGAGGACACAGTAGGGCAGGGGATGTCCAGGCCTCCTTCATGCTGTGGAGACAATCTTGGGCTGCCATGCCTCACTGCTGGATTTTACCATTCCTGGTACATGACTGTGCTCACTTCTGCCTCGGAACAAAATACCTTGGAATCACGGATTACGTGGAACTTCAAATACTCCTTCAGCTTGTTTTTGTTGTCTTGACTGAACAGGAAATCCTGTTGCTCAGGGGGTAGGGCTTGGAGAGCTTGGTCCGTGGGCCAGAAGACAGTGACTGGGGTATGAATGGGATCGGTGATGACACTCAGCAAGCCTGAGTCCTGAAACACAGGAAGTTAGCTCCTCATGGTGTCAGCCATGTGGGCAGAGGGTGTCTCTGAGAATTCCCCTCTGTGTTTCACCCTATGGTTTACTGGGACCCCGGCTGGTTCTAGGGTAACATGGCCCACCACACTCTAGCCATTCTGACCCACATTTCCTTAGAAAGCAGATCTCAAAGTCAAATTTTTGGCTTTTGCTAATAGAAAAAAAAAAAAAAACTTTAATGATTACCTCAGTTTTTAATACTGTTCCTGCCCAAATATTTTAATTTCTAGAAGACCAGATTGGCATTTCTCTCATGATTCATTTTGAAAAGTAAAATCTGTATAATATCGAGATACTCCTGTATATTTCTAAGATTTCTAGGTCATATGTATCCAAAAAAAGGAAAGATGAATGGGAAGAAATCATTCTGACAGTCTTCTATGAGTTGGTGCATGACATACATTTTTTTCTTTTAATTTTTTTCAACAACCCCATGCAGTAGGCTTTATCATCCCCATTTTATTGAGCTCTAAAGAGGTTTTCTAACTCACTCTAAAAGCCTATGTTCAACCACACACTGATGCCCAAGTGTGGGGATAATTATAAAGTTTTGGGGGTAGATAAGTGGGCAGAAATTACTTTACTATAATATCCTACAGATTCTCATTTTAAATATCTCGAAATCCCCATTTGTAAATGGCTCCCCAGAGAATCTGACACCCAGACCATTTTGGGAATTGCTGGTCTAATGCAAAGATTGATACTAGGCTATGGAGATCTCAGGGTGCTTAAAGCTCTTCAGGGACTTCCCAGGGTAGGCAAGAAGGTGGGGAGCCTCAGAAGGACCCTGGGTCTGCTCTCCCTGATTCTCCTGTGCCACCTTTTATTTGAAGAAGTTTCTACTCAATTTGTGGAAATAATCTTCAAAGTCAGAAAGATGTCATGTCCAGTTTCTACCTGCCTCATAGGCATAGATTCTGCCTCAGTTTCCCCCATTGCTGTAGTGGAGTTGGGGGTTCCAAACATGATAGTATCCTGTACAGGGCCTGACACATCCCAATTTCTTTTCCTCTCTCCAGCCTCAAATAATTCAATATCTAACCCATCCCATGTTCATTACTTGAGGGAGGCCTTCAAAACATTCATGGAAAATGCATACTATGAAACAAATTATGCATGAATTCCAGAAGTTTTTACACCAAAATAAACCTGTTCTTTGATTCCATTTTTTTCCCACAAACTTTCTGCAGTCCCCTTGTATAGCTCGTACAACATACAGCATTTTGAGAATGGAGTGGCAGAGAATGTTTGCTTTCCAGAATATTAAGATATCTCCACACAGATTCCACAAGAGTGGCTGGTGTGAATAAATAAATAAATACAACAATGATAAAACAAAAATAAAATTCTTCAGTCAGGTTATCCCAAGTCAGCATTTCCCTTAAATTGTTACCTGTAGTAAGTTGCTAAATTTGATGTAGCCATGGTTAATTGCCGCAGTCATTAGATTTTGCTGCAAAAAAAATAAGAGCATGCATGAAAACTTCCCTCATCTAGTTCATAAGCACCTTAACAAAACTCAGCAGGACCAAATAAAGATAAAATAACACGGCAAGTATGGTAGACTGGCACATCAATACCCATTCTAGCTGTTTTGTCCTTGCGTTTCTACATTGTAGAGATTAGAAGGCCAAGTACTACATTTTCCCAGACTCCCTTGCAGCTAGAGCCTCATGTTGTAGTATAAGGTTCACCAAGAAGGAGTACTTGTGCTAGACTTGCTGGTGGAGATAAGATAATGTGGTAGTGGTGGCTAGCAGAGAGATCAGACCTTCTGGCAAGCTTAACGTGAAGGCATCTGCTGTCCAGTCTTCCATGTCCTTGGTCTTGAGGCTGGAGACAGGTGGCAGAAAAGCCCTGAGATGAGGTGAGTGTCCTCCCTTTGCAGGTATTACTGGGCTGCTTAGTTCCCAACTGTGTAGCAATTGAATCAGACTCTGGTCTTCTAAGAGGTTGGGTGAAGTACCTAATATCTTAAGCTAGGTATAGTAGATTCTGTAGTGTGCAATAAAAAACCTCTGACTAATAGGCCAACAGCAATAAATAGCAATAAAAGTTAAAACAGTCTTTTCTATCAGTTGGGAAGTCTTACTCTAGTTTAGTTTTAGTGATTATCTCTCTATCTTCTCCACCTTCCAAGCCTGTGCAATAACACCTGTCCCTGTGGATGCTGAAGGAAAACTTACAAGATCCATTTGCTGATTTAAAATGTTTATTTATTTACTTCTTAGAATAACGTCTACTAGATTTGTAATGGGAGCTTGAGATTGAAGCAGTAAAGTTAGAATGTTTCCGATGAATCCCTCAGTATCAGAATCGAGATGATAATGTGTTCAGTCATTTCATGCTGAGAGTATGACAGTGAATTTACCCACCGCAATCTTTCCAGAGGCATCTTTGGGGGTGACAAGCAAGTTCTTGGGGGACAGCAATTTGTCTATGATATGGATGACTCCATTGGAACTGATGATATCACTGGATATAATTTTAGCCTTATTATTTATGTACACTGTATCCTGAAGTCAGCCAAAACAGAGAAAAATAAATAAAAACACAGAGAAATAAACACAACATTTCTTTTTTCAGAATGCTTCACCAACATATTAAGTCATCAGTGGCAAAATGTAAAGACCAAAGTTACTTGAGCACATTCTTTCTTTATTTTTAAAGGGTTTTTGTCTTAGGGCACGTATGCTTGCCAGAGAGAAACAGAGACAGAGAAAGGGAAAGTGAGAAATCACTCTCCAGAGGGGATGGCCATGCTGCAATCCCTTCTCCATTCTTCTCTCAGAATTTTGGACACACATGCACATGTGCCTGGCATTATTTTGAAGCTGTTAGGTCAGGTCAACTGCAGTTGGCCATGTGAAAGTTTAGCACCTTAACCACCACGCCACCTGCTGGCCCCAAGCAGATTCTTTATTATGAATATTTAAAAAAGAAAAAAAAAACCTGTGGCAACGATTATTTAAAAAAGAAAAAAAAAAACCTGTGGCAAAAATATCATTTGCACATGGAGAATTAGTAGCAAATACTATGGAATCAATCAACACAGTCATTTCAATGTGATTCATAAAAATGAAGTAAACAAGCAGTTCAAGATTGGCTTCTCTTTCATGTTTGTTCTATAACTACCTTTGCAATGAATTCTACAGCTGCCATTGGTTTCTTTGTTCAGGGAGGGATAGGATCAGCATAGTGAAATGACTGACAGAAAGCTTTCGTCTCATCCCAGTTTCCGACCAATGTTACCAAGAGCAGGCCTTTTGACCACTCAGAGCTGTCCTGCCTGAGTTTCAATTTCAGTCCTTCTATGTACTCACTGTGTGACCTTGGACAAGTTATTTAACCTCTCTGGGCTCAGTTTCCTTATTCGAAAATTGGCAATAATGATAATATCTAGACCATGGGCTTCTTTTATTTTGCAGATGAAATAAGTTGGAATATGTCAACTACTTAGAATGGTGCCTGCATATAGTAATCACTCAGCAAGGGTTAGTGTTGTCATTGTTATCACCGGTATCATTCTAAGAAGAGAGAGAGAGAGAGAGAAAGGCACCTTCCCGGTGGCCTCTCTCACCTGAGAGACAGAGATGACAAGTGGCTCCCCTTGGAGGGAAGTAGCATTTGGGGTCAGTTTCAGGTTTTCCAGAAGCAGCTGATGGCAGGCGATCACATGATAGCGAAGAACCTGGGGTATTACGTTGAGTTTGTCCCAGTCTTTCATCTGTAAGAGAAGAGCAGGGGGTTCAGCCAGAGGCAGGCCTTTTGCTAAAACCTCTTTTGCTACAATCTCTTTTGCTCTTCTTTGACACCACCCCCCACTTCGTTCCTCGCCCACAAACGTGAAGTAGGGCAGGACTGGTTCATGATCAGGCTTCCACGGTAGGTGCTGTCCAGGCAAGAGGAGAACGTGGTCCTACTTCCTCTCCTGTCTCCACTGTAGAATATCAACATGGAAGGGAACACACAGTTCGTTTGGTCCAGTGTTTCACAACCCATGTTGCAAGGACCCCAAGTCCTGTGGGATGGATCTTGAAAAATCTTTTTTTTTTTTTTTAATGAAATATGCAGGGAAACTGCACAGCACATGCGCCTCTTGGATAAGTACCAGGGCCAGATTTAAACTTTACTATTGGAAAAGATCATGACACATCTCCATTTGTAATTCAAAATATGAACAATATTCACCTTACCGTGTGATAGCCCACACAATTCTCATAGCTTCAATGACAACTCTTTCGATGACTCTTTTTTGAAGGATCTGATGTCAAATTCTTTCAAAGATTATTTTTGTATAGCTTTGCTGGTGTTCAAAACACATGCACAGAGGAGCAGTGCATGGAGCAGTTAAGAACACAGACCCAGGTTCCAGTCCTTGCTCCACTCTTGCTAGTCATGAGACCGTGGGAAAGCTACTTCCCTCAATGCCCTCAACTGTAAAATGGGGATGATAATAGTGCTCGGCTCACAGGGTTATCATGAGGACCAGAGTTCATCCAGGCTGGGCACTCTAAACTGTGTGCACTCTCAGTAATGTTACTAGCATCGTCATT